CAGTTGAGACCTGTCGCTTGTATCGAGGGTAAAAGCTGAAGAAATTCGTCAGACGCGTCTCGAAAGGCTAAAGAAGGGAGATATCCTTTCGGAACGATGGATGATGATAATAAACAAAATAAAAAACAAAAAGGAAAAGATAAATTGAAAAAAATTACTGCTTGTGAGAGTGAGAGAAAATTATTGTTGAATTAGTTGAATTGACAATAGTTGAATTAACGTGACAATAAAACGAAAGTTTGGCTAAAGTTTGGCGAAAAATTTTCCTCGACTGATTGCGGCTGATTGATCGAGTTCGTGAAAACCGCTCGCATGAAATTTTCATTTTCTCGCGGGAAGAAAATATCGTCAACATTTTGTTTTCTTTCAGACGAGAAACGAAGATCGTAAGAAGAGGAAAACTTGACCCAAGCGATTTTTCTGAATTCGATCGTCGTCGTCGACGAATCAAGCATGTGATCGAGGAGAATTTTCCGGCTACTTCGCGACTGCTTCCTCCTACAAGCTTCCCGCTACGCGCGGGAAACGCCGGTCGCGTCGAAGGATAACGAAATCGCCGTACCTGAGGAAAGTCAAGTGCGCACGTCGCGCCTTCTCTCTCTCTCTCTCTCTCTCTCTCTCTCTCTCTCTCTCTGTCTCTTTTTTTATACACGGCAATAAAGATCCGACTCGTGAGACGCGCTCGCGCTCGCGCGGGCCGTCCTTGATGCGCGTGCTGGACTGTGAAAAATCGCGTCTGTGCCAATCAGCATTGTGCACGGGGATGAACGGATAACAGGACGAAGGAGCAAAGTGGCGCGGCGGATCGATTTAACGGGAATTTCGCGTGGTCTTTCCTTAGTGCGCCTCTCCTTGTGCCAGCGCGAGACGAATCCTTGCGCGGCGCGAGGAATGCAAATCTTCGACTCCGTTCTCTCGCAATCGCCACGGACTTTCGCTCTTGCACGATTTAGGAGCTACGGGTGAAGATACGACGACGTAGTCGCGTTCCTCTGTGCTCCCGCGTTGTTCTTCTCCTTCTCGTCTCGAGATTGCGAGAGATGGAGCGACATGTTTAACGCAACGCGCGCGCAATCGCGACGGCCCGCCTTGCTTACGCACGCGTTCAATGTCGACTCTCACTTTTTAGGACTGCCTCGTAAAGGAAAAAAGAAATGGCCGCACGCTGGGAATGTTTACACGACTCTCGAAGGCCCGCGATCCTTCGGAGAGATTTTCGATTTTTCCTACGCTTCTAATTACCGCTTCCTCGTGCCGCTCATTATCCTTGTCCCGATTGAATAATTTAAATAGAATATTTGCGCTCTCTTAGCCTTGCGCGTGCACACGGCATCGCCGCTCGTCGCGTGTTCTCGTATAAAGACACACTCTAAGGAATTAATATACAAAATTCGCGAGAACACGCTTCCACGTGACACGCGGCGGAGCCGGACGTGGTTCGCAATTGGTGTCGTTAAAGAGACAACGTGGAACGAGCGGCGCCTAGAACGTCATAAAAACATCGCACTTTTTTCTCGGAGGGACGTGATTATGCCGCAATCATCGGCATCGCGATAATTATACCATACACACGAATCGTACCAGGACTTCCAGCGGCCTATCTGCTATTACGATCTCCTTTTATGCAATCTTATGAACGAATAAAATTAGTAAGCTTCGGAGAAGTACAGCTATTTTTCTTTCCTCACTCTTCCCGGAGAATAGTCGGAATATAGCATGAGATAAACTAAAAGGATCCTGCAAACAACTCCTAGATACAAAGCTGCAGCGAGATAAACGGACAATAAAGAGATTGTATTGTGCACGGTGAATCAATACGCCATTTATTCGAACGGAGTTCTAAAAGGAAACGATTAAACGTCCGATTTGGAAAATGACAAAGTCGCAACCGGTCTCCGCCATCGAGCAAACTGTCGTTTAGAGGAAGTCGATTCACAATTTGCCGGATAATTGGCGAGCGAAACAAAGAGCGAGCGATTCCGAGCTCGATGGACGCGTGGATGCGAGGTACAATCTAACGTGTACGAGCGTGTTAGAGAGCCTATTTCTTCGCGGACGACAGCTTAATAAAAGCGCATTATTGTAACGGTACGTAACGGTTGGAAATCGCCGGTTGTAAAGCAGCGGCAACAGCAGCAGCAGGAGCAACCTGCTCGCTGTTTCAACAACTACGAGTATCCAGGAAGAGAGTATCCCAGTATGATACAAAACGATATACCGAGAAGAGTGCTGATAAGCCGAAGAATGTTACACGTTCACCCGCGGACAGACTTCTATTCTTAGCGCTTAATGGCAAAAAGCTTGGAATTAACGGAGCGAGATTTCCGAAGCGAGCGCAACAGCAAAAACCTATTTATTTATTTATATCTGTGGGAAAATATTTGTTAAATCCTTTTGATACTTTTAATATATTTCGCGTATTAAAGTATTATTATCCTAATAAATATATGTATACATCATTTTAATAAATAATATGAAAGTAAAAATGATTTGAAATAAGTTGAATAATATTTCATTAAACGAAAAATTCTCAAGAAATGACATCAACTGCGCTTAATTCCGACATAACGTTTTTCACTGTAATTTGTTGATTTTTCTTCCTTGTTTGATAACAGTACCACACCAGGAAGTTATCTGATGCGTATAAAGGTGGAGGAGCTTCTACCATTTAGATATATTGTTTCCCCGCAGACTAATTCGCTTACAATGCGCCTGCAATCGAGATAGCTAGATAGCTCGCTAGCTATCTAGCTAGCGAGCGAGCGAGCAAGGTGAGGTCATCGATCTCGACGTGGATAAGCCTGGAGATTATCGCGCGAGCGAGATTGCAAAGATACTTAATTACTTACAGGCGTGTCGATCACGAAAACCAAGTGTGAATGTAACGGATGGTTCTTCGGATGAAAGAAAACTTTAATTTTTCATAGTGCTATTAAGATAGCATTATCTATTATTTCTACCGGAAATTCGTCGAATTCCCTTTGCATATCTCTCTGTAGTATTATATATTCATGACTAATAAAATATACACATTTTACTTCAGATGCTGGTCGCCAGCTACACCCACGCGAAAATTATTCAAGTTGAGACCTATTAAAGCCCTACGAGGAACGAATGAATTTAACTTTGACCAACAAGACGCGCGAGACTCAATTAAAACTAGTTTGACAACTCCGATTAACGGCGACCTTCGGCGGGAACAGGTAGCGGTGCACCCCGGCAGCGATGATTATTATTCGGCTGTGTATCGACATTCCGGCGGATGAGCAATTTCCAATCGAGCAGTCGCCGTCGTGTGTCGACGCGTACGAGTCGGGAACGATACGTAAACCGACGGTTTACATAATAGCGGCCATGCTATACACGCATCGGCGCGTATATAGCAGCACACGTGTGCGACTCATCGAGGAACAGCTCGATGAGTCACAGCGGCGAAGAAGATGAACAATTTACCTAGTCGCGTACGCGATTTATCGAGCAGCGCGACGTATTCGCGGCGCGCATAAAGTGCAAAGTTTTAGCATCCCAGCGCGACAGAGGACTCCTGATGAGGAGCCTCCCGCGGATGAAAAGAGCTGGCAAGAAATTCGCCGCTTCCGGGCATGTAGCGTACGAAAATTACGATGATCCAGCCACTTGACAATAAAGAACAAAACGGACATTGTTTGCGCACTTTCGGGCATTTAGGTATGTCGAACACGCGCGAGACGATTCGTTTACGCTCATTGAGGTAAGCGCCTCCGTGGCGAATGAGAGAAAGACACGTAAGTACGGGCGATGTGAATTTTAGATGACGACGAAGATCCGTCCTCAGATGAGAAGGAAAGGTCGTTCGCGATGCGGAAGAACCAACACACGGTTTGATCGGCCAATACATGTTGCCTCGAGTATAGCTTAAGAATCGCTGAGAGATATTGTTCGGACCCGAACAAATTTATCGGTTAAACCGAAGAAACAAGTAAATTCTCTCTTCAGAATGAGATAGAGTGCGATACGTACGTACAGGAAAATCTTTCGCCTCTATAATTATTTTTTGCTCGAGAGAACCCCTGTCGTCCTGTTCAGCGAAGAATAGAGAGTGATTTGTAGTTGGCTTCCTTTTCGAAGCAGTTGTTCGCCGCAGAGAGAGAGAGAGAGAGAGAGAGAATAAACGGTCGATTGATCCCTTTAAATGTACTCAAGGTCGCTCGAGCTCTGCCACAGCCTGGTCAGCCCTGCCATTGCACTTCCGCTCGACATATTGAATGGTCCCAAATGAATGCTTTTAAAACACAAACGCGACACATCATGCCGGTGTACGCTAGCTCCGCAGGTGTGTCCGTCCTCGGCGATGACTAGTCCAGCAAGTTGGACGGTATGTAGTACCGATCGCTAAAACGAGTTTGTGCAACATTTATCAAATTCTACAGATGACGTTCCTGCAAAAATGTCTCCAACTCATCCCTCGAGTTTCCCATTGCCTCGCACCGAGGCCATCCTCATGATCCTCCGCCGCGATTCTCGCATCCGTTCGACGCGGCATACTTGGTGCGCGATTACGATGGACAAAAAGCCCAAGCTCGCCCAAGGCGTGACAGCAGTGGGTCAGCAACACGAGAGCCACGCCGCGAATCCGTGAACCCGACATCGAAAATCTCATAGGGATCACGAGGCGCACCGGGCGTAGACAGCGTGAGCCGGAACGGAAAAGAGCGATGGAATTGGCAAGCGAGCCGCGAGGCAGAAGCGAGCGAGCGAGCGAGAACGAGCGAGAGCGAGAGAGAGAGAGAGAGAGAGAGAGGCGGCAAGAACGAGGGAGCGGTGTAGGAGGAAGAGAAAGAGAGAGGAGGAGGTGGAGGACAAGGAGGGAGGATAAGATAGGTAGAGTCCAAGAAGGGCGGCGAAGAGAAGACTAAAAGAGGGGCCCCTCCCGGTGGCTCAGGCGAGGAGGGTCGGGGCCCCCTTGCACGATCCTGGCGGCCAGCACGGGTGGGTAAATGGGTATATAAGCGGGGCCCCGGCGATTCCATCTCGACACACGACCCAACCTTCATCCCGATCGCCAACGGTCCTTCGCAAACGAGCCTAATTGCACGCGCGCGAAAAAAGAAAGATACATAGAGAAAGAAGAGAGAAAGAGAAAGAGAAAGAGAGAGAGAGAGAGAGGGAAGCAGAACCCCCCGCGTCTCTCCTCGAGTCCATCTTTATTCGTTCTTCGCACTCCGATCAATCGCGCCGACCGACAGTTCGCGCGAACCGGTGAGAGCCGATTTGACAGAAAGAGAGGTAGAGAGAAAGAGAGAGAGAGAGAGAGAGAGAGAGAGAGAAAAAGAGAGGAGAGCAAGAGGAGTCGAGGAAGAGACCGCCGTGCCCGACGCCGACTCGTCTGGCAAGAGTTTCTCGATTACGGAGGAGAGAACAAAACGTGAGTACCTTTTTTCTTTACGCTGAGTATTCGCGAGAGACCGGACCTCTTCTCAACCGAAGAAACTCCGTCTCGAGACGTTGATTTCTCGCGACGGTCGTGATGACAAAGTCATTCGTCGAGTTCACGGATTTAGCCGGTCCCGCCAGGTTTTTCCGAGACACCTGTCTCATAGTCGACATAGGACATGAATTTCTTCGTCGAACGTCAGTCGTATGTCGTAGCAGCGAAATCGGACGTTGACACCGCGAGAACCAGACTCGAGTCTGCGTCCGGTGGTCCAGCACGCACTTTATTAGTCCCGACGAGACCTCTTCGCTCAATCGTGTTGATTTTCGACCAAGCTAAAATCTGATACCGAGACAGATCGAGCCTCATATCGAAAAAGAAATCCCGGCAAAGTCTCACAAAGATCTAACTGCTTATTTCACACCGCCAAAGACGTTTTCACGCTTCCTCCGCCTGCTTCTCACTATCTATCCAAGCGACGACGGCAGACGGGAGAGTCCGTCGATTCTCCGTCAAAACTTCCTTCGCGTTGGAATATTCACAATATCCACCGAGCCTCGACTCACATCGCAATCATTTTGACATAAGCAAAAAATTGACGGAAACGACGGACTCCTGTCTGCCGGCGACTAGACGGATAACGAGAATCAGCCTGTGGACAAAACTCTCGGAGGGAGAGACATAGGTAAGACCAAACGTGACGGACCCACCGGGCGACAGTCCAGCCGCTCGACGAGGTCTCGAGTTGGAGTGACAAGTGCGGTCGACAGACGCGGTTGGTTAACTCGAAATGATCGTTAGACTCGCGCCTGTGTGTGCGGAGGACTTTTCTCGAGTCTCGCGGCTAGCTGCTTGCACTTCTTTCGCAATATGCGTAGGACTCGATACCGCGAGAGTCTTGCCGCGGCAATAGAGACAGACTTTTGAAAGTGGAGCGCGATAATGCCATTGTTCGCCGTCCGCTGGCATTCGTTCAATTAGTCGGGGCGCGGCACGCAGCGGGATTTTCGAAACGACGACGACGACAACGACGACGACGACGACGAAGATAAATAAACGCCTCGACTTCTGATCGCTTATCGCAGACGATGCATTGAGCTGTCGCAATATCCTCGCGCTTCTAATTCGTACGTAGCTCATTTTTATCAGAGAGAACGTAATCTCAGAGACTGAGTCTCTCTCTCGAGAGAGAATGAGAAACGATTCGTCACGTCAAAGAGCCGCGTCGCGACGCCGCCGACCGCACGCGTCGTCGTTGCACGAATTGTTAATTATCGCGGTGTGAATTCCAACGCGAGCGAGAAACAGAGGGAGAGGGAGAGACGAGCTTCTTGTTGTTCTATGTTAATAAAGAGGGATTAAATTCATGGGCAACTCGGCAACGCTTGTCGCGTTTCGCAGGAAAAGGAGCCCAGTGCCGAGAGGTCGAAGCGAGAGGACGCAAGTCACTCGCGTGCAAAATGCGCTTTACTTCGTCTCACGTCGTCGTCGTCGTCGTCGTCGTCGTCGCCGTCGGCGGTGGCGGTATACATAATTTGTAGATTTCTCAAGGAGCAACCGCGCGCGCGCACTTGCGTAATTTCGCGTTGCCTCTCACGGGGGACCCTTAATTAGCCGGCTTAATCTGTCAATCTGCGGAGAGTACCTGCGCCGTCGGCTCGAGGTCGCCGAACGACGGTGTCTCCCTGCAGCTTTCTTCTCGCAACCGACGCACCGGCGTCGATCCACGTCCCTAATTCGTCCCTGTTCATCACTCGTCGCCCAGCGTCCAAGTAGATCACGGCGCGCTCAGGTCGGACGAGCGGATTTCGTCACCCACTCGCGAGCGAGTCCCGCGAATTCGGAACAGCAGCACACGGACGGATTTCGCGAGTTTAGATCGCACGAAGAAGTTTCAGAGCGGAGCCTCGCTCTTTCAATATGCTGTAATCTCGACAGGCGCGAGTGAGGAGAAAGAGAGAAAGAGAAAGAGAGGAGAGGGAGAGAGGGAGAGGGGGGGAGAGAGAGAGAGAGAGAGAGAGAGAGAGAGAGAAGGCTATAATCATTGACGTTGGAGCGCTTGATGGCGCGCGACTTCTTTGTGGTACCATTATTACATCTCTGATGATCTTGATGAGGTAATCGACGTCCATCATCTTTCACAGGCATTTCCTGCGTCTATCGACCTGTGTCGCCTTTGTGTCGGCATTCGCGGCGCGATTAGCGGCCTCAGCTTCATCTTCCACCGCGTCGGGAATTCGTCGTCGATTCTGACGTTCCCGCAATTTCTTCATTTCTTCTCTCCCGCCCCACCCCACTCGCCCCCGTCGCGTTCGTTCAGTCCCTTCGAGGATTGCGCACAACGGAAGAGCGTTACGTCGAACTCGCGAAACCGCCGACGTCGCCATGCACACGCATCGACGAGTACGTTCTCACGTAATGCCATATATAGGAAATAATTAACGAAACGTCCGTGATGCACGAACAATAAACCGACGGCCCATGCCTCCTGGTGAATTAACTCGCAATTAAGCCTATTGCGATGACGGGCGCGCGCGCGCGCGTGTGTGTATCCGGTGCAATTACATCCGCGCGTTCGCGCGCGTGATTTCACGAAAATATATTTGGACGACGAAACGTCAGCTCGAGACGACGAAATTTCACGATTCTCCCCGTCCCGTCATTACACACACAGGCGAGTCCCGGTGACGTTCGCGCGCGCGCGAGTCGGCCTTGTGCGAAATCACACAGCCGGAGAGGCATTTCTGCGCGCGTTGACGCGAGCGGCCACTGTTGTAGCTAACGCGAGCGAGCGCGAGCGAGCGAGTTGCAATTTGTATCACACAATAAGGAGGGTCGAAAGTGTGCGTCGGCGAGCTCGATTCTCACTTTCTCGACCGCGGCACAAGGTGCTCCTGGCCGATATCGGTGATATCGCGGCGAGAAGGGAAACGGGCGGGTGGGCCGCCGGCTTCGCAAGAACGATCGTTGCAACCGCTGGCTGCAATTGCATCGCCAAACGCGAACTCGCGCTGTAAAAAACTGGATCGTTTTGCTACCCCCTCCCGCCTCCGCCCCCGCCGCCGCCGCCGCCGCCGCCGCCACCGCCCGTTCACTGTCCTGACTTACGCCTTCGTTGTTCCCGTTTTCGTCGCCACTTCGCTCTCTCGCCATCCTTCGCTCCGCTCTCGACTCTCCTGTGAGTCTCGCAGCCAGCGATGCATTCCGGTTTGCCGCGACCACCGGACATTTTCCACGAGGCGCGCGACCGACGACGCTACTGTCGTCCGCGAGGTGCGAGAGGAAGCGGAAATTTCGCGACTCGTCGAGAATGCGTTACAACTGGCGGATTAAATATTCTCATTGAATGGGATGATTGATTCTCCTCTTTTGATCGCGCTTCGCCGAGAATTCGTGACAAATCTCGAGAGCGGTTGAGGCCCGAACATAAAGAGTGATCTATAGTTGAGCGCGAAGGTGAGATTGCAACGTGACCTCCTCCTCCTCCTCCGACGACGACGACGACGACGACGACGACTTCCCATCGAGTTGGTTGATAAGAAAAAATTGATTGGCCGATATTAGTCGCGCGGTCGGAATGAATTGCTTCTCCGTCATGACGATTACGCTTAACTCGAGCGCTAATGATCGCCGATCGAGCGCGTTGAGTCGATAACGCGTAAATACCGCGTCGTTTGTCTCCGATTTCACACACGCCCACGCGCGAATGAAAAATGCTCGTCTAGTGTTTCTCTCGCGCGAGCTTGGGACGTGGCGGCGCGTTTTGCGACGCACAAGTAAGGTCGCGGGGCAAAACACTTGCGTCACACGTTGTGTACATTTATTATTCATGCACTTTGCCGAGCATGAATATTATGTGAAACCGCGTCCTACGTATTTCAAAGTCAATCTGTATCGCGATACACTCAACACCGCTACGAGTCCCTCCCAGCCGGCATTTATTACAATCTACTAGAAGCACTACGAAGAAAACAAAGCATCCTCTGAAGTCTAATTAGCGACGAGGTTCAGTGTAATTGTGCGTGTAATTCGAAAGTTATCGATTCCATCAAATGTCTTCCACAAACGAGGAGATCCTCGTTTATCGAAAGATAAGAAAATATCTAGAAAATAAAAAAAATATTTATTCGGTGGGTGCTAATAAAACTTGTGCACTGTTATATGTATTTTGACGCTGAGAAACTTTTTTTCATATAAGTATACATCGTCTTAAAATTGTAACTTTTCACGGAAAATAGCAATTGCTCATTCTGTATAAATAATTTAGATTTATAGGCATTGATAGGAAGAAACGATTAATTTGACTGAAATTAAACTCTTGTTCTTCTATCAGAAAAGTACTGATTACAATGTGCACACATTCCGTCACTGACACTATAGTAACGTTTACGAAAAGACGCTTCTACTGACAGTAATTTTTACGCAATTACAGCTGCAAATATCAAAGATTTTTCTTCCAGTGAGTAGATGTGTGTCATTAGTACCCACCAAATATGTATCTCTCAATTTTCCCCCCAATGTACGCCGTTTTCCATGACGATTTTTCACGGTGCATCTTTTCCACGGAATTCGCGCAAGACAGCCGCCATGGTGTATTTCTTTCGCGTGTCGCGCATAGAGGAATGAAACGCGCGCATAACAAGCGCGAGGGGCACGCATCCTGTCATTAGTTCCATAACGTTCGCCTTATTCGGTGCATTCGGTTCAATGTCACCCGTCCCTCTCCTTCCTGCCGATTCTCTCGCAGCAGCCCCGATGTTAACCGATGGGTCCATCGGCACCCAGCGCGACCTCCCGCCCGTCCCGATTCCGCGCTCTTCTCGCCGCCCATTAGCGATCATAGCCGTCGTCCTTTCGTCTCGTAACGCCAGCTACCCGCGATCCGCGATCGAGTCCATTCATACATGCCTCTCGGCCATTCAACACCTCCGTTCTTCTAACTGGAAGATTGCGTGTCTCAATGTCTAGCCGACGCAGCGCTACAGAACTTTGTTGAAAGTTTGTTAAGACCGAGTCAACGGTCGTCTCTCAGTCGACGACGACTTCGATTCACGTATCGCGGAACATTTCGACAGCAACTCCACAAATATCGCGCGATATTCCTAACGAAACCGAGTTAACCTCACCGTCAAAGCGAGTCGCCGCGGCAGCAGCGCCTAAAAGCCGATCTGATATCTTGCAGATATCACAATGATAAAGTTCACCGTGGCAATGGTGTGCCTGCTGGGGCTGAAGATGGTCGCCGCCATGCCGCTGGCCGACCACCACGAAGGCCACGTGCCGCTTCCGGTGGTTCCCCTCGAGGAGAAGGTCGCGACGGAGGCTTTGAAGTCAACGGAGACGGCCGTGCAGAGCAGCGCGCCGGAAGCGGCGCCGGCACAGCCGCAAGCACCGGCTGAGCAACCCGCCGCGGTGGACGCGCCCACGCAGAGGAGCAGCGAGTCCTCCGAGGAGGCTCAACCGGCCGAGACGAAGGAGGAGCAGCCGAAAGCCGTGGCCGAAGAGGCCGCGCAGCCCAAGTCCTCTGAGGAGCACCTCGAGGAGAAGGAAGAACCCAAAGTGTTGGCCGCCGAGCACGAGAAGAAGGAAGAGGAGTCCCTGAAACTAGCGGCTTCCGAGACTCAGGAGTCTGTGCAGCCTGCACCGCAGGAGCAACCTGCCGAGACTCCGGTCGAGAAGAAAGTGGTGAGTTTTGTCGATTTCTCGAACTTCCTTCCTTTCGATGGTCATGCGACTTGCGTCAAAATAATTTAGTGTTTCCCATTGTTTCTTCATTTTTCTCTTATACTTTCTACGATACCCTGCGGGTAGAAGATTAAAAACACACGTTCTGCAGGAGGAACACGTAGCCGCTGAGGGCAAGAGCGCGGAGCCGGCGGAAGTGCTCGAGAAATCCGCGGTCACCGCCGAGAAGACCGAGGCCGTCGGCGAGATCGCCAAAGAGGAGGTGAAAGAGGAAAAGAAGCTAGAGGAGCCGAAGAAAGAGGAAACGGAAGTTCCCGCGGTCGCCGCCACCGTCGCCGAGGAGAAGAAGCTCGAGCAACCCACCGAGCAGCCGAAGGAGTCTGAGGGTCACTCGCCCGCTCACGCTAAGATCGAGGACAAGCCGGAGCGCGTGACCCGCGACGCCGAGGAGGCCGCTGCGCCCGTCTCGGTGCCCGCCTCGGTGCCCGCCTCGGTGCCCGCCATCCCGGTCGCGCAGGAAGCGAGCCAACCGCAGGAGAAGTCCGCGCCGGTCGAAGCTGAGCAGACCCCGGCGGAACTGATCACCCCGGTGGAAGAGCCGGCCGAGAAGAGCGAGATCGAGAAGAGCGAGAAGCTGGAAACCGCGGCGGCCGAGCAGCCAGCCGTCAAAGTCGAGGAGAAGGTCAAGGATGAGGAGAAGGTAGCTGAGCCGACGGCCGAGGCCGAGAAGGTGGCGAAGAGCGCCGAGGCGCCGGTCCAGCCGGCGGAGGAAGCCGCGAAGGAGCCTGCGCAACCAGCTCAAGAATCCAGCCAGACCAAGCGGAACACGACGAAGGCCGACTCGCTGCCAGCGATCGAGGAGCCGTTGCCAGCTCAACAGCCGGAGGCCGCCAAAGAGGTGAAGGAGCGCTCCAACTCCTCCGAGGAGAAGTCCGATGACAGCAAGGAGTCCAGCGAGGAGAAGTCCTCCGACGAAGAGAAGGACACCAAGGCGGTGGAGCAGACCAAGGCGGAGCTGCTGCCGAAGCCCGAGCAGTAAATCTCCCGGCGCTAGGTGGATTGACACGAGTAACCTCAAGCGGCAGCAACAGCAGCAGCAGCAACAGCACCACCAACATCGACAACGAGGAGGACTGCTCCTCTTGAGATCGGGACGAGCTCAGGCATCGGCACTCCAGCAACCCTCCGGGGCGCGTGCACGAGTTCGTCGCGAGACAACAGGAGCGAGAGCGAGAGAGAGAGAGAGAGAGAGAGAGAGAGAGAGAGAGAGAGAGAGAGAGAGAGAGAGAGAGAGAGAGAGAGAGAGAGAGAGAGAGAGAGGAGAGAGAGAGAGAGAGAGAGAGAGAGAGAGAGAGAGAGAGAGAGAGAGAGAGAGAGAGAGAGAGAGAGAGAGAGAGAGAGAGAGAGAGAGGAGAGAGGAGAGAGAGGAGAGAGAGAGGAGAGAGAGAGAGAGAGAGAGAGAGAGAATGCGTGAATGTCGGAATGCCCGAGAGTAGGAGCGCGCGGCGATGAACCAGAAAGAAAGAAGTGTGAAAGTTCTGCAAGTGTGTGAATGAGAGAAGCGCGAACGAGCGACCCCATCGACACGATCGATCTTCTTCTTCTTTTTTTTGTCTCTTTGTGGTAGGGTTGTGTCTGATCCTCACTACGCGCACTACGATCTCCGGTAAGCGCATCCTCGGGGAGCCTATGGGGCGAGCGCGTGTCGCCGAGCGCCGAAGGGCCCGAACGGGGCGAATACGCGCGTCTTGTACCCTCGAAACGCGCGTTCCCCTCGTTCACGAGTTCCTTGACGCGACGGGAACACGCGCGGTGCCCCAGGCGGAATGCGGCTCGACCCGCTCCGCGCGAGCGGCATTCCCGTTCGTCCTTGTGGACACCGCGATCTGTCCGCAGGGACGAACTCCGTCCCCGAGCATCTTTCACCCACCCACCCACCCACCCATCCACTCCACCTATCCTCCACCTATCCCCCGGGGACTCCCTACGTCTCATCTTAAAATGACGCACTACTACACCCACAAGCCCATCCCGATAAACTAGTAAGTAGCTCGACTCTGTCTTCTTTAGAGATACATGTGTCATTATTATTATTATTATTATTATTATTATTACGATTTAGTACCAGTATCACTATTATTATTAATATTATTATTTGTATTATTACTATCTCATCATCGTTATAATAATAATTATTATTATTACTGTGAGATCCCGACGGCGTTTACTTCTCGTGTCTCGTTACCGACGGCCCATCCACTCCCCAAATCGTGGGCGAGTGCGCGACCGGCGAAATCGGAGAAAAAGAATCGAGGGGAGCTGAAACTTCTCACGTACGGCGGTAATTGCCACGCGTCCGCTCAGTTCGTGCACGGACGAGCACGAGGACGGTGTGCGCTTCGGTTTAAATGTCAAGCGCGCCTCACGGAGCGCGGATAATTTGCGGCGCTAATCGTTCCTGACGTTGAGGTCTGAACATTCTCGTTGCTCGAGAGCAGAAAGTTTCGAGAGGAGCTTGTGTTGAAGCGCAATGTAATATTCGACATTGCACTGTCTCGCTCGCAAGAGGCTCAAGACGAAAGTCGTATATTAATTGCGAGCGCACGCGCGGAACATACGTCAAACGTGGACGGCATATTCGCGAGAGAAAAGTTTATCAGTTTATTTTCCTTCTCTCTCAAGTAACGGTTATCTGCAACGACGAATTTTTTTCCCTACAAATAATCAAGTACACTCGACTGAAGTTTTAGAGAAGCTCATCATCGTGCGCTCAGAAGAGCGCATTGTCTCCTTTAAAAAATATTCAGAAACGTAAATTCTATGCAAGAGGAGCAAATCCGAAGTTTTGTTTCAATTCAATGTTCTTGATCAGAACGCTGAATTTAAGCCAAATCTGACTAAATCATGACGAACTTACGACAGACTTGCGAGTATACGAACTTGCGAAAGCAAGTAACGTTTACCTGAGAATGTGGTATGTGTTTTTCAGTTTGTATCGACAACGACAGTCGCGTGAATTTTATACGCGAACGGTTCGCCGATAAATCCGGCGATTCGTCCGACTCGAGTTCGCATCGCGGCGTGCGTTGCACGATATACAACACGGCGCGATAAGGCGCGCACAGTGTCGCGGTCGCGTGATTTTCCAATCAGAACGTCGCGCTTTCAGCGTCGCAGAGACGACGACGACTGGCTCTCGGGCTCGCGGTAATAAGTTAACGAGTGAGTCACGAAGAGCAGCACTTACGTTCCCAACAGCGCGGCCCATACCACATGGTGCCTGCTGCCATATCAGATATGATAATCGAGGGCTTCCGCCAGCCGATAAACATCTTCACACTCACCTAACACGAAATAACAAGGCACAACGAGCGTGCACCGCCAGCGGATTGAGTAGATGTGCCGGTGATCCCCCCGGTGCGACTCTTTAACCCTTATATAACACCCAACGAATCGCTTACGCACGCAATAAGATTCGACGAGATGTGTCGCGCGAATCTTAGACGTTCCCTCGGGGAACTCGCTCTACGAAGGTAACGTACGAATTTTCGTACGATTTTCATCGAACGCGCTGGAAAATATACGCGCGAAAGTTTTCCCCGCAAATAATACAGTTGCAAACGCGCGGAGTAATTATAATTATGCGATGGGTATATCGATTGTTTGTTCCAACATATAGATGCAATCGATTGCGATTGCAACGGCAGTATAAAAGTAGCAATATAAAAATAACAAACAGAGCGATATAAAATCAGAGTAGAATATAGAGATATACATAGAAAACACAGCGATATATATAAATAGAAAGCGGAAGTGTGCATCAAAAAATCATATGAATTCATGAAATTCGTCGTTTAGATAAAATTATGTGGGGAGATTGAACGTTTAAATTAAATCGTTTAGATTCTGACGAACACAGTTCTCGCAACGCAATAGTTTTGCAAAGGGCACGGTATACCTCAAGGGAGGGAAGATATGTCCAAGGATTACTCGTCACAAAGAATTAAAAAGGACAGCTTGGAGATTAATCTGCACATTCACGATGTGCATAGCCCTCTATCCTCACAAAGTCCTCCGTTCTCGCATGCGAATCCACACGACGGATCGGCTATCCACGGAGAGAATGCACTTGCACAAGAGCCCGAGCGGTCGCGCAATTGCCCGCGAATGTAACATCCGCATGTGGCACGCCGACATTTCTCCATGACATGCCGCGCGATGCATCGATTCATCAAAGGGCGTGCGAGCAACTCTATCGCGCGACGACGCGCCGAGTAAGAACACAAACAACGGCGCAAGGTGCAGAAGGTGAGTGGACCCGGCGAAATGTCAAGGCGTGCAAGAGAGAAGGAGACGTTTTGCAATGCGCCGCAACGGGATTGTTTCGTTTCACATTGTACATTCTCGTCGCGCTAAAGTTTAACGTTAAATGTGACCATCACGTTAACGTCGAGCCAACCTCCGTTGTGTTTCACACGCATGAGATCTTCGCTATTAAATCCGCCGCCAATTCTCGTTCTTCGACGTCAAACTTGGTTTTGTAGTTAAAATTATTAAATTACAAATCTGCCCGACAAAGCCTCAAGTTAAAGGCAGAATCAAGCATCTGACATTTCTATGCTTTTTTCTCTAAGCTGTGAAGTTTTAGACTGCAAAGAATCATGCAGTTTAGGTTGTTTAATCAAGCCTCCGTTTGTTCAGTTAATTATAGTCGATTTAAACTAAAATTTGTAAATATGGTTCTGTGACAATAGAGTGGCTAGATGATCATACCGGTAGATGCATTTGAAAGCAAAACATCCTCAGTTGCCTCCGTGGCGCAATCGGCTAGCGCGTTCGGCTGTTAACCGAAAGGTTGGTGGTTCGAGCCCACCCGGGGGCGTTTCTTTTTTGTATATTTGTAATTTTATGATATTGATGCAATGACTATGTACTAATTATGCATGCGTATTTATACTAAAACTATAAAATAAAAACTGGTTGCTTATTACAAGTATATTTAAATGTTATTGCAATCCAGTTTCAAGATTCCGATGAGTCATTTCAAAGAAAATATCAAATTAGTTATAATAAATGTGACGAAGAATAATTATTGTTAAATTAATTAATTATTGTTGCAATTTCTAGTTTGATAAAGAAGAAAGTAAAAAAAAAAATAAACTTGACCCCGACGTGATTTGAACACGCAACCTTCTGATCTGGAGTCAGACGCGCTACCGTTGCGCCACGGAGTCTTGTGGTGTTGCTTGCTCCTAGTACATTGATGAATCCAGTCGTACACTCAAAAGGTGTTACGACAAGATTAAATATCATGATGACTTATGTAACTTACAATCTGCCACACACCTGATTCGTGAATAAGAAGCAAGCCAAGACACCGAGTGACCACCAGTCGACTTCCTGTCCGTAGTACTCCTTCCTTAATATTTCTGGTGCTAAAAATTAATATAACATGCTTAATATAAATGTTGCCAAATGATGTAAGCACTGTATTTTATTTTGTTTTGTACTTTTAGTTACTTATTTCTTTGAACTGTATATATATACACAACAATATATGTGCGATAATATTTTTATTAAATTAAGAATATTATATTCATTTGTTTACCCATATATTCAGGCGTTCCGCAAAATGTATTGGTTCTCTCTGTGCGTTGCAACCATTTGGCAAAGCCAAAATCAATAATTACAGCATGACCATCTTTATCAAGTAGAATGTTTGTTGGTTTTATATCTCTATGTGCTATTCCAGCATTGTGCAGAAAATCTGTATATTATACATATATAACTTTATATGGCAGATCTTACATTATTAAGAAAAATCTATTTAAATATTTATCAAAAATTTAATTAAATTATTGGAGTTCTCTTTTACCTATAGCTAAAGCAATCTCAGCTACATATATCCTAACTACATCCTCAGGTAAACATCCATACTCCTTGACTAGTGAAAATAATTCCCCACCAGGAATGTAATCTGTCACTGCAATAACATTTGCTTTCAGCAGTCACATGTTCAAAAACTTAATGTTAATGCTGTGATAACAGATACATACATATATACAATGTCTTTCTGCCTTGCCATCTATGGGTAGAATTTACTATAAAAGGATGATGCCCAATCATTCTCTGAATTGCAACCTAAATATAGGACATATTTTTTTATTGAATTAACAGTATATTTATTAAAATAATATTGTTTTTAATTTGCTTATTAGATATACCTCTTGTTTTGCTTGTATAACAGCATTTTCAGCCACAATCATGGCTTTGCTTATAACTTTTAGTGCAAAAACTTGACCGCTATCCTGTTTCTGTACTTTATAGACTTTGCCATAGGCACCACTGGCTATTACATCTAGGAAAATATATCCTGTTTTCAAGGGTATCTCCTTATTTGGAAACTCTGGTAAAAACATCGATTGTAAACGTGGTACTGGCCATACTGTTTTGGAAGATCCATGGTGATCCTGTACAGTGCCTTCGGTCCAGCTAAAAATAACATATATATTTATAATCTTAAAATCTATATTATTAAAGTTAAGATTGAGATCCTTTGTATAATACATTAAATAATATTTAAGTAACCTTCTGTGAGAAGCACGAGACCATGATCTTCCACCTTCGTTTGAAGTCTGTGTTGTTGTAACGCAGCTTCCACCAAGTAAATCGCTGAGACTATACTGTAAATACAAATTCACAGTAATATCTTTTCTAATATAGATTACTTTTTATACAAAGTTTTTCATATGCATTTGGTTGTAATGTAATATAAAATGTAACAGAGAACATTTATTTAATGTTGAAAATATTTTATTAGAGGTTAAGATATATGTTCAAATGAGAAATAAATACCTGACTAGCATATTTCTGATGACTATGATAGTTTCTTTTGGTGTTAGAATTTCCCATCCAAATGACGATGTTCCCTTGTAACTGATCGTCGGATTCTTCATACGACGGACGAACAATAATTCAAAAGTAGCGCTTCTTCAAATGTCATTCTGCTGTCAGACAGTTTCAAGTTCAAACTCCAAACATGTCGACTATTAGTCCGCGCGCGTATTGTATTTATAATTAGACGTGCAAATCACACAACGTAACACATATAATTACTTTCAATCGTATAATTCGGTATATTCAAAAATGGCCGTTACAGCCATCTTGATAAATGCGATCTAAATCGTTAACACCGATTAATAACGAAAGGCTCAACTATCGTATTTGAGGTTGATGGATCAGAATATCATATCGCGTTACTTAATAATAAATTTCGTACAGTTATAATGTTATAAACGAACGCTTTGTAACGGAAAATTCCACAAGAAATCGGATTCGTAACGAACTCATATGAAGTGCGTGACTCATACACACGGAGGAAATACAATTCATGAGCAACTTTTTGAAGTCAAAAAGAGCGCAAATTACTAAACCACAAGACGTTTTCAACTTTTCTTATTGTCTACTTTATTACCTTGCGCATGCATACGAAACGTCTGCAATCTCGGTAAGATATTCGACTGTAAAAGAAAAATCCGAGAACACGTCCATGCGCGATGAGTCCCCAGTTGGAAAGAACGGTCGCGCAAAATTCAAATGGAACTTGAGATAGGATCACGTGAGCGCAATGTCGCCAACCCGCGAATATCAATAAGGAACAGTAAGCTTTTCAGTGATTTGCCAGAGAGGAATGTGAGAGCGGCCAACACAGCGTTTTCGACGACACCGACTTTCCGCACTGGGAAAGGGCGCCATCTGCATCCATTTTGAGAGGGGAACTACGATACTACATCCACTTTCAGGTTTCGGCGGTAAAACCTGTATGTGGTGGCAGTCCGTGCTACATCCATTTTTAGGCGGTTTATGTCCGTGCTACAACCATAACAGCGTACTTGACAAGCACGGTCTCGCACATTGTTACGCATTTATAACATGAATTAACATGTTTACATGTGCAAAAAAAAGAATTGACATTGTGTATGATTAATATCATGAAGATCATACGAAGTGTCTGGTAATTAGCTGCCAACCCGAAGTGTGAGGGTAGATTGGGTTGAGACAAACATAAAAGTACCATACCATTTTGCGAGATTCGCAATAATTATCAAGTTATTAATGACAGAAATCTGAGGAGTAAAAGCGCGCCGACATAGATGATTCGAAAAGCGTTGCAGCTGCTCGGGGCAGCGATCATGAATCTTTTTCCTAACGTGAACTAATAAAAAGTGAAAGACTTCTGTGAATTAGTGAAAAATGAAAAATTTTATATGAATTTGTGAAAATCGAAACATTTTACACGACAATTGAGTCGTTCAACATGGCAGTTGCGCGTTCTGGATAATTCAATGAATATCAAAGAAATCAAAATGATCAAAATAATAATGTCCGTGTAGTCCGAAGGATATTACGTGATATGCAAAATCCGTTTGATATAATATCCAAAGAAAATGTTTCAAAATATGTATGTACAGGTAATATAAACCGTATGCACTGACGAGATATACTACAAAGATTGATGACCTTACGGGATTTAGCGTACCAGAGAAATTTCCCTGGTGAGGCACCCGGGCGAAAGAGACCGTCTCGCATTTAGCGCAGTAAAATTTAATGGGAACTAATACTTTTCATCAATCCTTTTCTTCGGACCAAAAAGATTCAGAATTCAGACTCATACAAAATGTCAATACTTTTTAATACGTTTCGACATTTCATACAGGGAAGCAGGACGAAGGGAATGAGATGCGAGCAACGATACATCATGCGTCTCCAGACGTGTCAAATCGTTTATTATAGAGTAGACTTTGATACGGTAACATGTATTCGAATATTTAATCGTCCCATGGACCACTTATATATAATAAAAGAAAAAACTAACGCGGATAAATGAACGATTCGTATCAATTTTTCCTTCTCTTATAGAGCAATGAAAGAGTAAATCAGTATCGAAAATCGAATACCGATTAATACCATAAATCAGTGTCAGAAAATTGTCCAAGTGCAATGACAATTTGTTCTCATTTTTCAGGTAGTTACCGCTGTAATTTACACAACAAATTAACTCGGTTAAACGAACGATTCGTATCAATTTTTCTTCTCTTATAAAGAAATGAGAGAATAAATCAGTACCGAAAATCGAAGGCCGATCAATACCTAATTTATTCATCAAATTAACGCGGATTAATGGATGATTCGTATTAATTTTCTGTTTTCTTATAGAGAAATGAAAGAGTAAATCAGTACCGAAAATCGAATATCGATTAATATCATAATAAATCAGTGTCAAAAAATTGCACACGTGCAATGACAATTTGTTCTTATTTTTCAGGTACATACCTCTCTAATCCTATTTAACAAATTAACTCAGATAAATGGACGATTCGTATCAATTTTTCTCGTCATATAGAGAAATGAAAGAGTAAATCAGTACCGAAATCGAAGACCGATCAATATCTAACTAATTCATCAAATTAACTCGGATAAACGAACGATCCGTATCAATTTTTTTCTTCTTATAGAAAAATGAAAAAGTGAATCAGTACCGAAAATCGAATATCGATTAATACCGTAAATCAACGTCAGAAAATTGTCCACGTGCAATTACAATTTGTTCTTATTTTTTAGGTACTTACCCCTCTAATTTACTCAACAAATTAACTTGAATAAACGATTCGAATAAATGATTTGTATCAATTTTTCTTCTCTTATAAATAAATGAACCAATAAATCAGTACCAAAAATTGAAGACCGATCAATATTTAATTGTATGTATACTTTATTGATTCCCCTGGCGGGGTTACAAATTCCAATATAATTTCTCCTCTTTACTTCCTATTACGCTCGCACCTATCCCCTCGCACATACACACACTCCCATCCCCCGCCCCTCCTTAAATCTACTTTACAAATATCTTACATCTACTCGCTCGCTTATCTCTTATAATTAATTGTTCGCTTATCATCTATTCTTATATATATGTATATATCTATATTTCTATGCCACTGTTATTTCTATAATTCTTATTTCCTACCGCCGATTTTCGCTTTCCTCCATTCATTCCATTCCTTCACACTTTCTCCCTCGCTATCTCTCTCTCATCCTTTTAATCCTCCTCGTCCTCCCTCTCGCCCCCTCCACTCCTCCACCTCTCTCATCCCCCCTCTCCTAGCAGCATTTCTACTACCTATACCCATCTCTCTCCCTCTCCCCCCCATCGTACACGATCAATATTTAATTTATTCATCAAATTAACGCGGATAAATGAACGATTCGTATCAATTTCTCTTTTCTTGTAGTATAATGAAAGAGTAAATTAGTACCGAAAATCGAATATCGATTAATATCATAAACCAGGGTCAAAAAATTGCACACGTGCAATGACAATTTGTTCTTATTTTTCAGGTACATATCCTTCTAATCTTATTCAACAAATTAACTCAGATAAACGAACGATTCGTATCCATTTTTCTTGTCTTATAAACAAATGAGAAAATAAATCAGTACCGAAAATCGAATACCGATCAATATAGAATTTGTTCATCAAATTAACACGGATAAACACACGATTTGTATCAATCTTTTCTTCTTTTATAGGGAAATCAAAGACTAAATCAGTACCGAAAACCGGATATTGATCAATACTATAAATCAGTGTTAGAAAATTGTCTAAGTGCAATGACAAGATGTTTTCATCTTACAGGTACTTACCCCACTATTTACTCAACAAATTAAATCGGATAAAAGAACGATTCGTATCAATTTTTATTCTCTTATAAAGAAATTAGAGAATCAGTCATTACCGAAAATTGAAGACCGATCAATATTTAATTTATTCATCAAAATAACGCGGTTAAATGAACGATTCTTATGAATTTTTTTTCTTATAGAAAAATGAAAGACTAAATCAATACCGAAAATAGAATATCGATTAATATCATAAATCAGTGTCAGAAAATTGTCCAAGTGCAATGACAATTTGTTCTCATTTTTCAGGTACTTACCCCTCTAATCTTATTCAACAAATTAACTTGGATAAACGAACGATTGGTATCAATTTTTTTATCTTTTAAAAAAATAATATTAAAAAAAAATAAATTATATTTTTAAGAAAATAAATCAGTACCGGAAACCGAATATCGATTAATACTATAAATCAGTGTCAGAAAATTGTCCAAGTGCAATGACAATTTGTTCTCATTTTTCAGGTACTTACCCCTCTAATTTACCCAACAAATTAACTCGGTTAAACGAACGATCCGTATCAATTTTTCTCTTCTTATAAAGAAATGACAGAATAAATCAGTACCGAAAACCGAAGACCGATCAATACCTAATTTTTTCATCAAATTAACGCGGATAAACGATTCGTATTAATTTTCTGTTTTCTTATAGAGAAATGAAAGAGTAAATCAGTACCGAAAATCGTATATCGATCAATACCGTAAAGCAGTGTCAGAAAATTGTCCAAGTGCAATGACAATTTTTTCTCAATTTTCAGGTACTTACCCCTCTAATCTTATTCAACAAATTAACTTCGATAAACGGACGATTCGTATCAATTTTTTGTCTTATAAAAAATTGAGAAAATAGATTAATATCGAAAACCGAAGACTGATCAATACCATAAATCAATGTCAAGAAAATTGTCCAAGTGCAATGACAAGTTGTTTTCATCTTGCAGGTACTTACCCCACTAATTTACTCAACAAATTAAGTCGGATAAAAAGACGATTCGTATCAATTTTTATTCTCTTATAAAGAAATTAGAGAATCAGTCAATACCGAAAATTGAAGACCGATCAATATTTAATTTATTCATCAAAATAACGCGGTTAAATGAATGATTCTTATGAATTTCTTTTTCTTATAGAAAAATGAAAGAGTAAATCAATACCGAAAATAGAATATCGATTAATACCATAAATCAGTGTCAGAAAATTGTCCAAGTGCAATGACAATTTGTTCTCATTTTTCAGGTGCTTACCCCTCTAATCTTATTCAACAAATTAACTTGGATAAACGAACGATTGGTATCAATTTTTTTTGTCTTTTAAATAAATAATATTAAAAAAAAATAAACTATATTTTTAAGAAAATAAATCAGTACCGAAAACCGAATATCGATTAATACCATAAATCAGTGTCAGAAAATTGTCCAAGTGCAATGACAATTTCTTCTCATTTTTCAGGTACTTACCCCTCTAATCTTATTCAACAAATTAACTTCGACAAACGGACGATTCGTATCAATTTTTTGTCTTATAAAAAATTGAGAAAATAGATTAATACCGAAAACCGAAGACTGATCAATACCATAAATCAATGTCAAGAAAATTGTCCAAGTGCAATGACAAGTTGTTTTCATCTTGCAGGTACTTACCCCACTAATTTACTCAACAAATTAAGTCGGATAAAAAGACGATTCGTATCAATTTTTATTCTCTTATAAAGAAATTAGAGAATCACTCAATACCGAAAATTGAAGACCGATCAATATTTAATTTATTCATCAAATTAACGCGAATAAATGAACGATTCATATGAATTTTTTTCTTATAGAGAAATGAAAGAGTAGATCAGTACCGAAAATCGAATATCGATTAATACTATAAATCAGTGTCAAAAAATTGTCCAAGTGCAATGACAATTTGTTCTCATTTTTCAGGTACTTACCCCTCTAATCTTATTCAACAAATTAACTCGAATAAACGACGACTCGTATCCATTTTTTTGTCTTATAAAAAATGAGAAAATAAATCAGTACCGAGAACCGAAGACTGATCAATACCATAAATCAATGTCAAGAAAATTGTCCTAGTGCAATGACAAGTTGTTTTCATCTTGCAGGTACTTACCCCACTAATTTATTCAACAAATTAAGTCGGATAAAAGAACGATTCGTATCAATTTTTATTCTTTTATAAAGAAATTAGAGAATCAGTCAGTACCGAAAATTGAAGACCGATCAATATTTAATTTATTCATCAAATTAACGCGGATAAATGAACGATTCGTATAAATTTTTTTATAGAGAAATGGAAGAGTAAATCAATACCGAAAATCGAATATCGATCAATACCGTAAATCAGAGTCAGAAAATTGTCCAATTACAATGACAATTTGTTCTCATTTTTCAGCTATTTATCCCTCTAATTTACTCAACAAATTAACTCGAATAAACGAATGATTCGTATCAATTTTTCTTGTCTTATAAAGAAATGAGAGAATAAATCAGTACCGAAAATTGAAGACCGATCAATATTTAATTTATTCATCAAATTAACGCGGATAAATGAACGATTTGCATGAATTTTTTTTTCTTATAGAGAAATAAAAAAGTAAATCAGTACCGAAAATCGAATATCGATTAATACTATAAATCAGTGGCAAAAAATTGTCCAAGTGCAATGACAATTTGTTCTCATTTTTCAGGTACTTACCCCTCTAATCTTATTCAACAAATTAACTCGCATAAACGAACGACTCGTATCAATTTTTTTATCTTATAAAAATGAGAAAATAAATCAGTACCGAGAACCGAAGACTGATCAATACCATAAATCAATGTCAAGAAAATTGTCCAAGTGCAATGACAAGTTGTTTTCATTTTACAGGTACTTACCCTACTAATTTATTCAACAAATTAAGTCGGATAAAAGAACGGTTCGTATCAATTTTTATTCTCTTATAAAGAAATTAGAGAATCAGTCAGTACCGAAAATTGAAGACCGATCAATATTTAATTTACTCATCAAATTGACGGGTATAAATGAACGATTGGTATGAAATTTTTTTTCTTATAGAGAAATGAAAGAGTAAATCAGTACCGAAAATCGAATATCGATCAATATTGTAAATCAATGTCAAGAAAATTGTCCAAGTGCAATGACAATTTGTTCTCATTTTTCAGGTATTCATCCCTCTAATTTACTCAACAAATTAACTCGAATAAACGAATGATTCGTATCAATTTTTTTTGTCTTATAAAGAAATGCGAGAATAAATCAGTACCGAAAATTGAAGACCGATAAATATTTAATTTATTCATCAAATTAACCCGGATAAATGAACGAGTCGTATCAATTTTTTTTTCTTGTAGAGGAATGAAAGAGTAAATCAGTACCGAAAATCGAATATCGATCAATACCAGAAATCAGTGTCAGAAGATTGTCCAAGTGCAATGACAATTCATTCTCATTCCCGAGTCTTTCCGAGTCGAAATATTAATTCTGCATTGATCCTGCAAATTGCATCCAATTTGAAAAATCAATGCAGAATATCTAGATGCGCAATAGTGAACAAGCTTTGTCCTACCTGAACGTTACATCTGGCTACTCTCGCAGTCTCGCCCATGATGAGTCTTCAACAGCGACGTATTCCGCAGTTATTTAATACTCGTTTATTTCGATAATGTATATGTACTTAATCCTTATATTCTTAATTTAAATGAGCAATTTTTGATTATATATATTCGCTTAACAGCGCAAGAAAGGGAACAAAGATAAAAACGTAAATAGAACTGCCTTTGTTAGAACTTCGCGTGAGATAAATTTATAAGGATTAAATAATCATATAAGAATTAGAGGAAATGGGAGATGAAAAATACTTTTTATTCTCATCATTCTTAAAATTCTTTTTTCCTTTTTTCTTCTCTTTTTTTTCTTTTCTTTTTTCTAATGAGAATGATGAGAATTGTAGCTCTCAAAAGAGCTGAAGCTGCAAAAAGACAACGGTTATGTCTAATAATGCTGTTTCACTAATAGAGATTTTAATTCACATTCGGTACAACAAGAAAGATAAACAAGAATGAGAAACGGACATTCTAGCAGATTCTAAACGAAAACAGCAATCTGAGCATTATTAGACGAATAAAAATCAACACTTGTAAAATTTATATCAGATTCTAAGATCATTATTCATAGTTTTCTAAATTATGTGCAATTTTTCATTGAGAACATAATTACAAATTTGTATTGATAAACCTTAGCTTGCCTCAGCAACCTTGCTTGAATAGACATTCATATTTTATGTGAAAAGAAAAGTAGAACTCATGTTACGTGAAATTAGGTTAATCGGAGGAATAATCAAATCTCAAGTCATTTTATCATTTTTCAAAATATAAACTATGAATGCTGATCTAATTTCGACTCGGGTATGTCCTTACTTCGAGTAAGGTCCGTTAAAATCAGAAAAATAATAATGCGTAATAATAGTAACTCAAGGTACCTCGAATACCATACATGATGTATCGTTGTCCTCAGCTACGTCTCTCGGCGCGCTCCAAGTCCTCTCTCCATCCTGACTTCTCGATCCGACGTCCTCCTTCTGGTCTCCGTCGCAGCACCCCCGGATACTCCATCATAGCACTGGCGACGACACTGACTCTAACTCTAACACTCGCGCAAGTAAGATTCGGGGACAAAGAAACGCGTATTAACCGCGATATGACTACCGACACTCGTACTGCGTCTCGGTATGCGCATCGTTCGTCGGCCCGAGGCGCAATGTCCTTTCCGCAATCACGGAGTCATACATAAGCGTACAAAAACAAACATTCGGGAAGGCACGGTTACCCCCTACCAGTCGCTGACCTTGCCGATCAGTGTTGATGCCTGCGTCGTCCGTTAGCTGAAAATGAAAACAACTCGTGTTTTCAAAGCATGCCTGTGAGAGACTCGCTTCAAACTTCACAATACTTATTTACGTCTGTTCCAAGAATCATATTACGCCGAATTCAAACTGTCTCTATTGACATGACATACACGAGATTTGCGATCGCATCATTGATCTTTCTTTGGACAAGAAAATCCTGAGAGGAACGCTGTTCGAGAATATCACATTTTATGTTTCAGGTGCCTTGCAGATTATCGAATCCGATGTAACAGATCAGGGAAAATATGAATGCGTCGCTATGAATAACACCGTGGGCACGGAGTACTCCAAGTCAATCACGTTATACGTGAAACGTACGTATATTTAATATTATATAAAACTTATCTTTTTAAACAAAAAGGTAAAAAAAAGGCGCCAAGTACAAGCGCAACACGTATTGTGTTATTTTTAGAAGTATCAAACTCAAATTAATTTTTTATTGTATATATGTGTACATAAGTTTTTACAAGTAAAACTTATAACTATAATAAAACTCTGCAACACTTTTCTACTGTACAAAAGAAGTGATATATTAGAACAGTAGCGCCAACTGAGAAACCTAACATATATGTATATGATTATTGTATACTTAACTTAATATTTTTAGAAATCTCAAATTCAAATTATTTTCTTTTTTAATATACATATTATGTACATAACATAAGTTTTTATAATATATGTACATAAACTTTTAAAAATAAAAATTATATCGTGTTATAAGAATTTAACACGTTTGTTAATAGTGTCCAATATTTAAAAAAATATATTTTTAAATATTATGTACATAACATACGTTTTTATAAGTAAAACTTATCAAATTATTTTTTTTGTAAGATATATATGTACATAAACTTTTAAAAGTAAAAATTATATCGTGTTATAAAAATTTAACACGTTTGTTAATAGTGTCCAATATTAAAAAAAAATACCTTTTTAAAGATTATGTTATTCAAAATATTCAAGGAAATCTAGCTATAAAAAATGTCCATAAAATAAATTTTTACAAGTAAAATTTATCATTATTTATTAGAACACTGAGTTATATGGTTATTTTACTTGTTATTGTAATAAATTAATTATTATAACAATGCAATAAAAAAATATTAAATACAAAAAATCTTGGCGCGGCTGCACCAGAAACTATATCGAACTAAAACTGTTTAGTGCCTCCGGGCATAGTCTGGCATAGAGATGGCAACTGTGGTTGCAGCACAGACATAAACCGCCTGAAAGTGAATATAGCACGGACTTCCACCACATGCAAATTTTACTACCGAGACCTGAAAGTGGATGTACCATCGTAGTTCCTCTCTCAAAATGGATGCAGATGGCGCCCTTTCCCAGTGAAGAAAGTCGGTGTCGCAGAAAATGCCGTGTTGGCCGCGCTCTCAGGTTTCTCTCTGGATTTACTACTCAGCAAGATGCCTCTCATGCGAATCACTCGAAAAGGAGTTACTCATTCCTTACACTTTCCGTTCTTAAAATGAAATAAGCATATTTCTGAGCGACGCAAGAAAAGGAGGAACGCAAGGGAAATCAAGAGGGAGAGTGCAGGAAGTGCAGTTAAAAAAAGCATATCTATCGCGACACCACGACGCCGTGGCATTAGTGCGTTCACGATCATCCGTCCACGTGACATTAGCTCCGTGCGCGGTATATGCGGTGTCGAGTGTGCGATAGCTAGTGATTGATCCCGTTGTGTCAAAAATTATAGGTTTTAAGCGCTATTTTGTATGCCGTCCGCGACCGCGGCCCCAATTCGAAGTACTTGTATGTCAGCCCGCGTCGGCGTCGAGCGCGCGTCACAGCTATGATCAAATTATTCTCGTTGAAACAAGCGAAAAAGGATGGAGAGTCACCCAAGGCTGGTACCCAGAAGAAGGCATCCGCGGCACAGCTGAGAATCACGAAAGGTTCGACCCGGTGATGTTCGCGACACCTTTCGACCTTCCTCTGATCTGTCGTTACTTTTCAGATATAAACGAACTCAACCTACCGAAAACATGCGGTACAGAATTCCCGGATCCCGACGATCTGCTGAGCTTTAAACTAATCATTTGTCCAGATGAAGTAAGCCTCGAACGTCTTGGTATCGATGTAATCCTCGGAGATGTTATTTTTTGTTTTTAGTCGTCTCAAAAATTCGAACGATGTTTACTGTGTTTAACAATTGATCCTATCGATAATAGCAGCATATACTCTATAGGTTGATTATTATTTCAGGGATTTTACAGAGGTGGTAGATTTGTATTTAGTTTCAAAGTTGGACCCAATTATCCACATGAACCACCGAAAGTAAAATGTGAGACTCAAGTATATCATCCGAACATTGATTTGGATGGCAATGTATGCTTGAATATTTTAAGAGAGGACTGGAAACCTGTTCTCACAATTAATTCCATCGTTTATGGTCTCCAATATCTCTTCTTGGTAAGTTTGATTGTCACTAATATTGATATTTGTAATATCTTGTGATATATTTTGGATATATTAAAACTAAACTTTTTTTTATCATTATTCTATGATATAAATGTTTTCTAGACTTTGTAAACTTTGCCCAATTGAAGATACAAGATGAAACAGCATAATTTATTTTTAGCATATCAATACGTCACACAACATGACTATAATATTTGATGTAACATAATCTAATGTTTTTGCATCATATCTAAATTCTTAAGTATATAAATATAATTATAGGAGCCAAATCCTGAGGATCCACTAAATAAGGATGCTGCTGAGGTTTTACAGAACAACAGAAGGGCGTTTGAACAAAATGTATCGAAAGCTATGCGGGGTGGTTATGTAGGATCATATTATTTCGAACGGTGTCTCAAGTGATACAGTGCCTCGTTGATGATACTGTATAAGCTTCTTCAAGAACTCACTGTAGGTGAAAAGATCCGAACATACGAGATAAATGCAGGACCATGTTACAGTGTCCTTGTTGTCACTTATGTGACTGCATTAACATATTTACTTTCTTTATGTCTTGCCAGGCCTATGTCTATTTAATCGAAAAAATTCGATTAACAAATCTGCTGGCAATATCATGCACACTGTTTACTCTTTCTGGTAATTACCAAAATCTTTATCGGCCGTGGTATTGTTTTAGTGAATTTGAAATGCAGTTATGAGGAGATTGTAGAATTATAGTTTGACATATTTGGCAGATGATAGATGTTACGACGTAAGACACTTAATTGTGTTAACATATATACAATAATTCTGGACTATCTTAAATCAGCTTTACATCTATAGATATGTTAATTTTTATAAGGTATTTATTTCCCCAGATATATATATACATATATATATATATATATATATATATATATATATATACGTAATTCCCATTGTCATTGTAGCTTTTCACCACAGTATCTATCAAAATTTTGCTCCTCATTTAAACATGTGTATAAGTAACTTAACTTATGTATTGACTGAGAGTGGAATATAAGGCTGTTATGGAACTATATAAAATATTTTGTCTGAATTTTTATGAACACACAGCATACTTTACACCCGACCAAAATAGGCTGAAGCAGGTTACTTTAATCTATGAGTAATGTGTATGTATATATAAAAAGGACACACCATTAATGTTTTTACGAAACAAATTTGAATTTATTTCATTGAAAGAAGAGTTTGGTTCGCTTTACTCTATGTACAAGTACAAACGTTACAGCAGCCACTAACAATCGTGAGATTACAATACAATTGTGGGATTTTATGCTACAAAATTTAGTTTATCATTATATATTTCATAATAACTACTAGAAACGTTGAAGTATATATATTTTGAATGTTACGCTTGTACAGTCAGTGTAAAATAATTGAGCATATCTCAATGTAGTTTAGAAAAATCGATTTATATATATATATATATATATATATATATATATATATATATATGCAGGAATCACAGAAATATCTATAACAGAGTGTGTTGAAATGTGTCACCAATTCTTTGTTTTCTTATTTGCTCGATGTACGAATCAAAATACTAGATGTCAATGTCACATTAGTTCCTTGAGTGAATCTATATTTGCTTTGGAGTTCACAATAGTAAATAATCGTTAATAGGAATAAGAATACAAAGACAGATAAGAATTTACTTAAGAAATTACTTGCTTACGATTGTGAATTCCAAACCATTAACGATCGTGCGTATATTTTGTCGTTGAACAACACATATTTAATTAGACAGCTGTGTAAACTCTAAATGTTAATTCAAACATATTGTACTCCAAAACATATTGAACTCCAGAAAAATAAAGGTCTTGGATAAATAAATAAATGATAGATACAATAGAGACTACATTATCGATTTTAATGTGAAGTTTATATAAACTTCGTTCGCGTATATTAAAGCACCAATATAGTCGTATACATATATATATATATATATATCTCTCATGATATATATATATATATATAAGATATAGGATATATATATATATATATATACCTTACCTCTTATCAGTTTATACAATATCAAGACTTAAGCGTATATATTCATATATGATTTTATCATAAGACTTACCGCGCAGACGCGCTATACGATTATTTATATAATTTATCATTATATAAAAACTACCGAATGTGTGGTAAACATCCATTACAAAGAAGTACGGCTCGTCGTATCCTATAAAGAGCAAAGGAACAGCTTTCGTCTTTTCTCTATTAGTTATTGTTAATTTATTATATTTTAATACAGTACTTATAGAACTTATAACTATAGAGAAGTGTCCTGGCCTCACTCCGACCTACAGCTTACTCCGCTGTATTCTTTAATTTAGGTCCCGTCTGCATTAACGTCTCAAGGCACTTTTTTTTTTAAACACTTTGAAGTTTGTGACTCAATCAATTAACTTGGTTTTTTTCTCATTACGTGCACAAAGACTTTAATTGTGTCAAGTAATGGGGTCGCGGGGTTTTCGGATCACACAATGCGGAGAGCAACGGCGTTTTTATCGTCGACGCGTCTTTATATAAAATAGCACGATACTAAAAAAATCGCTTACGCTTTACATAGACTTCTGATAAACACTGCAAGAAATCGATAGATATCATTCCAAGTAAAGGCGATCTGAGAAAGCGGGGTACTGTGTAGCAGTACAGGCAGTACACAGAAAGCAGGATATTGTGCAAAATAAACTTGGCGAACGTACAATCGATATACATACAGTATGTTTATTCGAATGACATTTGATGTGTGTGAATCTTCCAAAAATTGGTGTTAACGAATGCAAGTGCAAAAATAATTTCTTGTCGTGTTGTGTGTTCGTGATCGAAAAGATTTCCGTTCGAAGTATCAATGTACAAATTTTCACTTTACTGCGTAATGTGTATTGCGGGTTTCTTGCAGTTTCATATCGAAAACAAGTACGATATATTGTATTCAACAAACGATGGAGAATCTGTGCTTGCATGGGATCACACGAGTAAATGTAATTTTCATCAATGGAACGTTGACAAGATGTATAAGGTAGCTTCACACTATCCATAATAACACTTCGGAGATGCTGTCGGGTATAAAATTCTTTTCTTCTTTTTTTGGACTTAGATACAGACCACGAGAGAGTTGTACTCTGAAGCAACACGTAATTGACGCATGCATTGTCCTTTATATTCTGATATAACAAGCACTTGTGCAGTAATCATTTCACTAACCACAGCACAGAACACCTCTTCTTTGTACGCCTTTATCATTTTGGGCTCTGATATTTATAGTTTATTTCTGCTCCGAGTTCGTTCTATGTATACGATACCCCGTGAAAGAAAGAGCTACGCTTATTAAATTTATCAAGTATATTCGTTGACGCCTTTTATTAAAACATCATGGGAGATTGTTCCGCGAGAGATCTACAATTACGAAGACACTTTGCTGTCGCAGCAACTATCTAACGTGTTCGATCTATGCAGCTCCATCTTTCAGGGCACCTCGGATAGTGTAACACAGTGGAACTTATTTTCCAAAATAAAGTAAGCTGTGCTGGGATTTACGTAAAGTGATTGGTAGCTGCAAAATGTTTGGCCATATGATACAATATATGTTCAAACGAGGACTTGAAAAAAAAAAACAGTGTTTATTTAAAAATCTATATTACTCTTATCTAACTATCCATTTGCTGAGAGGCAACATAGTTGTGACTTGACAACTTATATCGTTTTCTTTACCGCAGAATAACAATCTGCAGTAGAGTCCGTGTACAGCATGGCATATTTACTCGATTATTAATTATTAGTAATATCAAGTAACATAGTTTACATACTCAAAAGTTTTCTCTTAATATATTTAGACTAACAATTTAACATAATTTCTTTAACAGACACTATTGTTACAAACTAATCCATCTTGTTTTGCTAAAACTTTTGGACAAAAACGATTCGATATTATCAAATGTACATTTTTCCCTCGAGAGTACATATCTAGCAAGCCATGCTGGAATTTTCTTAATTCGGAATATTCCGAAAATTAAATACACCGAATTTTAATCGTCAAGAAAACATGTTTATAGCTTGCTAGAATTATCATGTCAGTCGAATCAAATTGGATCGTATTTATAGTATAAGTGTATAAAAGAGAATATACATTTTCACACGATAGCTAAAAAGCAAGCCTGCTGTCTCGACTAATGAAACAACGGCATGCACAAGACTGATCTCATGGAGATGAAGTGTTAGCGTCCTCGTATTAAAGCAAGATTCTGCTGGATTGCCTTAATAATGTACAATAAGTTTACACAAAAATAGTAAACGGGAAATGCGTAACGTCTCCGGAGTGGTCATGTAATATGATCGTGTGCTACAAACATTCGATCCAGATTCCGTGTAATTTGTTTACTTACTTAATCTAAAATTGTAATGATTATAAGTCCTTATCGGCTTAAAGGTGTTCCGCCGAAGTTAAACGAAGTGGGTACAGTCTGAGAGTGAAAGGCATAACCTAAAATAAGAAAAATATAAATATCTTTGTAGGTAAAGATAAATATATAATTATCTCTCTTCTTCGCGGATATCTTTGTAGTAACTCGAGAAAATTCTCGAAAGCGATGTTTACCTCCGCTCTGTTCGATCCTCTTGCTCTCCAAGGCTGCTTTGCGTTGATCCGCAAACAAGATAATTTCTTGCAGTGCTTTCTCTTGCTCAGGGGTGAGAAGACTCGTTAAAGCCCTGTACCAGGCGACGTCAGTTTTTTCGATGGCTGATTAAAGAGAAACAGAGAGAGAGAGAGAGAGAGAGAGAGAGAGAGAGAGAGAGAGAGAGAGAGAGAGAGAGAGAGAGAGAGAGATAGATTTATATAGAACAGAGTATACACTAATAAATATTTTTCAAGATCAAAGAGTTTACTCAAAGAGTAATATCATTTTTGCCGATATTTACTTTGTATAACTTCCTTGAAAACAACATATTCATCTTGATTGGAGTCATCAGAGTCTAAAGGTGTTACATAACTTTCCAGAGCGGTCTCTTCGTTACCGTCGAAGTCTGAATCATCGTCGTCATCTACGTCGGATCTGTGATCACCATGACCATCTTGGATCGTTGCATTAACATTGAAACCGTGCTGCGCAGAGGATCTCTTGATTTTGTCTTGCAACTTTTCAAGATATTCCTGGTTAACATCATCTATTTCATCCTCGTCTGACGACAAGACCTCTGAAAATCGTCAAATCGATCTCTTAATTATGTATTAACACTCATAAGCGAGACGTACTCACCTTCGTCGATATCGCTTTCTTCATCCTCGTTCTCCTCATCGTCCCCATCAGTAACTTTAGCGGCGTACGCTCGTTTAAGACCGTCGAACAAAAGTATCAAAGACGGAACGATCTGCGTAGCACATTCATTAACAGCGATCGGTCTTGCTGGGCCCATGATAATTAACGTACACAGTCCGAGAACGCACAATTTTCTATCGTGTAATCTACAAAAAAATTCGAATTATCTCTCTATATAGTGGTTGTATATACTTTTCTTAACATTACTTCTATGTTTTATAAATAATATTATCTCATTTTCTTTCTTCTTTCTCTCTTGTTGGGACAGATACAAATATTTTGACGCTATAAAAAATGCATACCCCAGGAAACAATCTGTGTCGTTTATCCATTGCTTGATAAAACGCGAAGCTAGCGGTTCCGTTGATTGAGCAAAATTTGCTTGCAATCTGTCCATTGTTTCTAAACAAAGGGCAGGATTGTAATACAAAGCTGCTATTACGACTTGAAGACACATTGTCCTTAATTCTGATGTTTTGACTTCGCGCATTAAGCGTTCTAGGACTAACTGTACGAGCGATGGTATGCACTAAAATTATAACATGTTAATAAGTCACAATTATATACACATTTTGATATATATTTTATAATACACACACACACACACACACACACACACACACACACACACATATATATATATATATATATTAATATATTGTATAAGAGAATCAGAGTATCTACGCATTGTTTTACAGATAAGCATAAGCTAATTCACATTTAGGTAATTAGTACATGCTAATTTATGTAACTTCTACAAACAGTATTTATTTCAACACGTTTTACCTGATCTATATGTCCTTTACATTGCAATATTATAACCTCTAATAACTTGGCAGCGTGACACTCAGGGTCCTCGCCGGAATCACCAGTCAAAACCTGTGAAATCGAAAAATTAACGTGACGTCACAGGAACAACGCAATTAACAATACAACATATTTCTAGATAAATACTTACAGCTTTGCACATATTAAACATAGCTAATATATAATTTTCGTTTGACAAAAAGGCCGGAGTATCGACGGTGATATAATTGTGCAGCGCGGGCATCATATCAGTGAAATAATCAAAGCCATCTTTTTGAAAGAGTTGATACATGAGCTCTAATATTTTCCACATGTCTGCAGATATCTTCTTACTAGTGAGATCATATACCAACGAAAGAGCTTCCTCGTAAAATTCTAAATGAAATGGAAAAATCAATCTTTCACTTTTTCTCTTCCCAGTTATCGCACAACATTGATTGATCGGCGATTATTGATTAACTAATGTTTAAATATAAAGGAATACATACCCATGACACTTTGTCCAAAGATGTGAGCTACTACTTGGAGGACAATTGGTTCCAACTGCGCCATTATTTGAGGTTGATCTTCCATTACTGTTAGCAAAGTTTCTATTGTGTTCAGAAGACCCATTGCTGTAATCGCTTTCTCGTCACTGCCTTCATCTGTCTCGAGCACTTGGCTGAACGTAGCAGCCTGGAAGAAAACACGTAAGATAATGCTTCGCTTCATTTGTATGTAGTCTTTTCCGTTCAATTACATTTCTTACCAAGTGCTGACAGATTTCTACGGCAATTGGCATGAGTTGTTCCGTATATGTACAAACAATTTTCTGCATAACGCTCGTCAGATCATCGTTCTCAGTTTCCCGTATAATATTTAATAGTTCAAGCGTTATCTGTTTAATTAAAGGTTCGATATATTTCTGAGCCTTAGGTTGTGCCGAAAGTATCATTTGAAGCGCTATCGCCGCTTCAACTTTAACAGGTAAATCCTGATCAGTCAAAAGAGCATTTGTGGTTAATCTGATTGCTTCTATTAAGATCTGTTCCTGCTTAAATTTAATTTCTGAGAAGTAATGCAGCACCCAACATGCCTGAAAAAAAAAAAAAGAAAATAATTGACGATCGTTAATTGCGCCGAATGTACATTTGTATTATGTAACGACAGTTTTATATGTATTATTTAGTTACTCTCGCTCGCATATGACCATGAGGACTGTTAAATTCGGGGAATACATATTGCAATAACATCTTGTCCATTTGTTCTTTATAAACTTTCTTCTTCAGTAAAACATCGGCCAAACTGCCAACCTGAATAAGACATGATTTCATACATTATGCTTGTACGTCATAAAATGTGTGGAGTAATCGCAAATGATCGATGTGCAGTAAACATTATCTTTTCTCATGTGCAAAAGCTCACCATGTGTAATGCACCGTCTTTTTGTCTCGGATCTGCATTTGGACTAGTTAAAACTTCCAAACAGAATTGCATCGTCTTTTGCAGCATATCTTTCCGTTTCCTACACGCTGAATGTAACAAAGTCTGTGCCGCCGTCACTGGCGATACAAAATCTTCGAAAATATCTAGAAACAATATTATAAATACATTACAGAATCAAAATTAAAATCCACGCATAGATTGGAAATCGCTGTTGATTCAACCATACCAAATTTCACTCGGATGTATTCGTAAGGGTCATTATTCCACAGCTCTTCATCAGCCGCGGAATACGAGAGAATCGGGAATATAACGTCGCGTATAATCTCGAACATATGCGGTTTCAAAAACTTCCAAGAGTATGCATGGCTCACGCTGCAATTTCAAATCAGCAGGTTAACTTTTCGATAATCCCGATTGTGGGCTTACAGATTCTTTTACCCTTGATTAATGTAATTGATTGACTGCTGTACTACTCTAGGAGAAACATAGATTTTCCTGCGATATTGATCCAAAATTTTCAAAAGAACTTCTAGGATACCCGCGCTGAAAGTCTGTAAATACCATTCGGAAAATTCTTTATATTCTTTGGTCACGCTTCCTGGACTGCCATATCTGCAATTTCGACGGTAGTAAGCCAATATTCGAACAACCTCTGTAACTTCATTCAAGTCTGGAAACTTGAAACAAAACTAAAGCAAATTCAGTTAAACTGAAGCAAGTTTAATCACCTTTCGAACATTCTATGTAAAATGTGCAAAGCCCACTTTTTACATTTCCACCAAGGAAGTTCTGCGCGCTCATCCTCATCTAAGTCTGGATTGTTGGTTTCTGGTGGCACAGGTCTGTCAGCTACCTGCCTCACGACATCCATCCATTGTGAAAATACTTCTCGTGAAATGAGGTCAAGCGGAAGAGTATACTGCAGTGAGAATAAAGATTAACAAGTTTTCAAATATACCAATCTTATTTCTTTTTTGAAATTCGATAGTCAACTCTATCTGAATGATTCTTCTATACCTGTGTAAGAGCGAAGAAAATTTTCAATATCTGTTTCTGAAGTAACACAGAACGGTCGGACGAATCTGGTAATAATGTTAATATCAATTGATAGATCATGGGGAATAATAAGTTCATTGCTTCATTCAATGGTCCCCTCTCTTCTGCTTTCTTATATCTAGAGGCGTAGAATAAAAGTGTTATAAGTTATTTCCCACCCAACATTATACCATGAGGGACATACCATCAAGTATACTTACTCAAAATTTTTCACAAGTTGGTGCAGCGCAAGAAGGACACCAGGCAAGGTTGCCATGTCTGTATTTTGAAGATATATCGTAATTTTGTCCACTATTGTTGTCCATCTTCCAGGAAAATCATGCTTAACCATATTACTGATGCATACGGCTAATTGTACTCTAAGCATGTGACACAAACATGATACATTACAACAATTATAATATATATTTTGCTGGGGATAACAAGTCAGAACACAACTTGCCTAATTAGTTCTGGTGCATGTACCACAGCATCCACTATTGCTTCGCGTATCATTGCACGATCTTGTTCATGAATGCTAAATTCTACAGGTCCATTATCGCCATCTTTGTCAGCCCAATTAGATGTGATTAAATTTTTTAGATAAATGACACCTACAGAAAGAAAGACAGATGTTCCTCTTGATATTCGCATCTTACTCAGCAAAATTATAAAATATTAGAAGAGTCACAATATATTTACCAGCTTGTCGCACCGGCATATCGACATTATTCGACATTACTGTCTGCAGCAGAGTTGGAGCAAATCCAATGATTTTGTGAATCTGAAAGCATGTACAGTATCATGTCGCCTCATTAGGAGGATTTATCACATTTATTATGTTATCATTATCGCTCCCTGGTGGTGTTGCAACACCACATAGGATCGTAACAAATTAAAAAGTGTACAAAGTATGCATACAGCAGATAATACAGGATGTACACGCTCGCGTATATACATACATACATACATACATACATATATATATATAATGTGTACGTGTGTGTATATATATATATATACGCACGAAATATGCAAAAATAACACGACAGTGATATATGGGTGGGATGATTACAGGCTACGTCGGAATATTAATTTCGCTCAATAATACATCGGTACATCGGCACGCAACGCCACGAATATGTTTCGCATGCGAAGGCGCGTGTACGATCGGCGCGACCGGACGGCATTAGCCGGACGTGTCCGGTTGAACCGAGCCTTCAGCAGCATTTCTCGCATGAGAAAAGAGAGGTTAGCGAGAACGGAAGTTCTCGAAAAGCCGACAAAAGCCGTAACGTCATTCCGCGAGGTTCACGACGAGTGCAATTCCTGCACGAAATCATCCACGATGTTCACGGGCTTCGTCGAAGCCCGGCTTTGTCTCGCCGACGAGACATGCGACCGTCGCACGAGCATATAATGCGGGCGGAATGTCAAATCGTCCATGCGGCCTCGGGAACGAGGTCCGCTCGGCGAGAACATGTTTATCGATGAAACGCCTCATCGGCGCGGACGCGTTTCCCTCGTGAGAGAGCGGATGATGCCCGGCACAAAGCGCAGCCACATGTTTCCCGGGACCTCGAAGCCGTCCTTCCCCCGCCCCCGGAATAGAACGTTTCTTCTCGGTCGGTCGGTCGGACGGACGGTCGCATGCATGCACGCATGCACGCGGTTTTCGCTCGCGTATACCTGGTTGAGCTGCTCCTCCGCTTGTTTCTGCTGGGCGGGATCGATCGTGGCCCGCAACAATTCCGTGAGTTTCTGCGGATCCATCTCTGCGAATCGACTCGGTTCGCCGTGTTAATTAGTACGTGTGAATTTTTCAACTGATTCACCTCGCGGTGGACTTGACCCGGCGCATTCACCCTGCTTGCCTGCTTGCCCGCTGCTGCTACTCCGCTGGTACTGCTGCTGGTACCCGTGACGGTCACGTGACATAATATCATGGCGTCGCGGGCAAGGCTCTAGATATATTACATCCGGTCGGGAGACATATGGCGCTCTCGTCGAAAATATATCTCGCCAGCCAGCCAGGAGGAGATCTCTCGTTCTGCCCTTCTTTTCGCGCAAATGGAAACTGCTTTCCCACGCTGCGAGGAGGAATGAACGCGAAATTGAAGCCGTGCGATACTTGTGACGCATTATGACGATGTAATGTAACTTTTTCCCCAAGAACGGAAACGTGAAGAGTTTCGTGTGAACTCGGCGCGACTTTATATACCGGCCATATAACTTTTCAAACAATGGAAATGCAGAACTTTTCACGTGAATCTCCTCATTTTGAAAGCTACTGACGAGAAGGCGGAAATTAGTGAAAGTTTAGGTTAACTCTTCAGCGTTAGTATTTATGTGTATGTATATACATTCTGATTAGTATTCACGGAGCAAAATTACACGGTTCTTATGCCTGTATATAATCTCATCTCAGAAAACGAGAGTAACGTGACTTCTCAATTCAAGTCATTAATCAATGAATCTCGTTTAATGATTTCATCTTTCGTAAAATCAGCCGCGTAATCGCTCTGCGATTCGTGAAAAAGTTCACGCGGGATCAAGTTGAGGGTGAAGTGCAAAGTGAAAGATCCCGTTCCAATAAGTTACACAAATGTTGTTCTGCTTTCTTTGAATGTCTATGCCTTCCGGCTGTATATAACAAAGAATTTTAACGCGCTTCGATGAGAAAGGCGTGAAAAATTGTAATTACTCAGCGGCAGACAGGCACAAAGACCTGCTGGATCCGCAATTCAGTGGTTTTGACCGGAAAATCAAATCTCATCGCTCCGTCCTTCAATCATACTATTTGAAAGGAAGTGGTGCGTCTGACTCGCCGTTGAGTCGTACTACGATTGGATCGACCCGCATTGGATCGACAGCGGCGTGGACCCATGGAAATCGGACCAGGCCGTGCTGCCGCACAGCAATGCACCGACAAACTAAATAATCGACATCAAAAGCTGTCAAATATGGCGAAGGCAGCGCAAGCGAGCGGTAATTGACATGTAAAAATGTGAATAGGCCTGCCGCACGATCGCAACGTTGATTTGCGCCTCGAAGAGAGGGAGCGAACACACCTGCGACGGCTGACACGGTGTCACACGCGCGAATCAACGGAGCACGAACGACGACGTTGACGACGACGACGACGACGACGACGACACAACGACGACGACGACGACGACGACGACAACGACAACGTTGACGACGACGACAACGACTACGACGACGACGACGACGACAACGACTACGACGACGACGACGACGACGACGACGACGACGAGAGCGACGACGATGATGATAATGATGATGTCGGGCTCGCCGGTGCCCGATTGCCGGAAGTGAGAAGTGCGCAAGGGTGGGCTGCGGGCAGGCCTGGATCACGCAACTCGTGTTGCCGGGCCGGAGACGGAGCGCACGAGGGCATGGTATAATCGCCGGACAGACATGGGTGCACAACAGACCAAGGACAGGGTAATCCCCGCCGGGTCGACCGTGCGGCAGACGCGCAAGCAGCCCAGGAACCTTAAGGAATCGCGCATCGTAGGCTCTAACATTTTCACCGAGCACAGTGGTGAGAACTGGCACATTATCAGTTATCAGTTGTCCTCTGCTCAGCTCCACCGCTCAACCTAGTGTTGTTACATCTTCTAGTTGTACAGAATTCTGCTGGCTACGAAGGCAAAATCTGTGTCTCTTTTCAAATGACTTGCACTGTATTATGCTAAAGTTTGATACCTTGGAAGCTTGTAGTGGAGCTGACAAGCTTGAGATGACTGTGCTTTTCTCTCTTGATACAATATGATGTTGAGGTGCTGGGAGTAACGTTGTACTGGTGAGAAGAAGCCAGTATCCGTGTGAGGTTTATTTTTATTTTTTTCATAGGGTTTGTAAAATACAATAATGAGCTTAAAATTGATGCTAATGTTTTTTGCATTGATATAAATATCAGTGATTAATGAGGATTATATAATATATATGTGTATATGTATACATATATATATATATACATATACATATATGAGTTTTTAAATATGTTCTTATTACAGTAGAAGAAATCTATGCTTTTTACTATACCATGATTAAGAGGAAAATTTTTTTATTCCCTAATCTGATAAAAATTCATAATTTTTAGTTTAGAATGTTAGGTTAATTACTATTATTGTACATGAGATAATTTAAAGACAGAAAAATTTAAAAAATAAAGATTTAAAGCACAAGATTCTTATATATTAGGTATGACAAGCAAAGAATTGTTTTTTCAACAAATATAAACATTAGTGCTAAAGGTTCTCATTTCCAATATATATATTGAGAATTATAAAGAGGATTGTTTTGTACTTTTTACAGAGGCACTTTTGCAAAGTAGGCCGCTACCTCACATTCCAGCATTGCCAGAAGGTGATCCTCCAAGTGGCTCTAGTGTTCAATCAATTTCACAGCAAACAAATGTTCAACAACATACTAGTGTGTCTGCTACTGGACTTCTTGAAGCAGCAAATAGGTGAGTTCAGTCATGCTTACATAATTACCATTTCACATACTCTGGTAACTTTAGTAAAGACTGCATAAATATAGCTTTTGAAATATACCATTGAAGATAGCATAAAGTATAATTATCCAGGTCATACTTTTTTTATATCATTTTATAACTCTTAATACTCATAATTTGTGAATGTTCTTCATGTCATTACGATAAAAAAGATAGCAGATAATATCAAGTCCAAACTTGGTCAAAAAGAATAACACCTTTTATTATTTTCACATAGATGGACCAGCAAAGAAAATCTGTTGGCGCAAGAGGAAGATGATCCTCAGTTATTTGTCGCCTTGTATGATTTTCAAGCTGGTGGGGAGAATCAGCTGAGTCTGAAGAAAGGTATTAATTTATTTCCCGCTAAGTCAACGGATATCATTCTTGTTAGTGTGTTTCAACGCTATTTAATATCTTTGTATAGGCGAGCAAGTTCGTATCCTAAGTTACAACAAAAGTGGCGAATGGTGCGAGGCCCACTCGAGTACCGGGCAAGTGGGATGGGTACCGTCGAATTACGTGACTCCTGTAAACTCCTTGGAGAAACATTCGTGGTATCACGGAAGAATATCGAGGAACGCTGCCGAGTATCTTTTGAGTTCGGGGATAAATGGCAGTTTTCTTGTACGAGAGTCGGAAAGCAGTCCTGGCCAGCGCAGCATCTCGCTGAGATACGAAGGTCGTGTGTACCACTACAGGATCAATGAGGACAGCGAAGGCAAAATGTTTGTGACGACGGAGAGCAAGTTCAACACGCTGGCTGAACTGGTGCATCATCATTCAATGCTTGCCGATGGCCTCATCACGCAATTACTGTACCCCGCGCCAAAGCACAATAAGCCTACCGTCTTCCCGTTAAGCCCAGAGCCGGACGAATGGGAGATCAATAGAACGGACATAGTGATGAGGCATAAGTTAGGAGGTGGCCAATATGGCGACGTATACGAAGCAGTTTGGAAGAGATACAACATGACCGTGGCTGTTAAAACGCTCAAAGAGGATACAATGGCTCTGAAGGATTTCCTGGAGGAAGCTGCCATAATGAAGGAAATGAAGCATAGGAACCTGGTGCAACTGCTGGGAGTCTGTACGCGCGAGCCGCCGTTCTACATCATCACCGAGTTCATGAGCAAGGGAAACCTGTTGGACTATCTGCGAAACGAGAGCAAACACCAGATCAATGCCGTGGTACTGATGCATATGGCCACGCAGATCGCTAGCGGCATGAATTACTTAGAGAGTAGGAACTTTATTCATCGCGACTTGGCTGCCAGGAATTGCCTAGTCGGCGAGAACCATCTCGTCAAGGTCGCGGATTTCGGTCTAGCTCGTCTCATGAGGGACGACACATACACAGCTCACGCTGGTGCGAAATTCCCCATAAAATGGACCGCGCCAGAAGGTCTAGCGTACAATAAATTCTCTACGAAGGTATGACAATATCACTAACAAATGTTGACCACTGCTGTTGTACGAGTTACTATTAATTAGTGGTCTTTGTAGTCTGACGTTTGGGCATTCGGGATTCTGCTGTGGGAGATCGCCACCTACGGCATGTCCCCGTATCCTGGTGTCGACCTGACTGACGTTTACCACATGCTGGAGAAAGGCTATCGGATGGATTGTCCGCCCGGTTGCCCGCCGAAGGTCTACGAACTGATGCGTCAGTGTTGGCAGTGGTCAGCGGCAGATCGGCCAACTTTCAAGGAGATACACCACTCGTTAGAAAATATGTTTCAAGAATCGAGCATCACTGAAGGTGCGTTGAATCTCAATAATCTAGGCAATTATTTCTTTTGCGCAAGTCATGATTTTATTGTTCCCGGTATATTTATTACAGAAGTAGAGAAGCAGCTTCAGGGCGGCGGGGAGATTCCGTTACTTTCATACAAGAAATCACAGACTGGAAGCACGGGAAATATACACGGACTCGTTCTCGTATCCGAGCAGTTGTCTTCTTCGGGCATAACGCAAGGTAATTTCGTCATCTTGATATAAGTCTGATCTTATATTTTGTAATTATATATTCTATTATGTATATAATTTATATAATAAAATCATTTTCTAACGAACGGAATATATATTTCAGAAGGAGCCAGTTCGGTCACTAAACTGAGCACATTTATGGGTGGTTTGTCAAGTAGGAGTAACAGCAACATGGTCCAAATGCGAAGATCGACCAATAAGAAAGGAAAGCAAGCGCCGGCGCCTCCTAAGCGAACAAGGTAAGTTACCTTTCCGCCTCAAGCGCAAGCAATGACCTTGAAAATATATAATAAATAACCCACTTGTCTTCTGTCGCAGCCTGTTGTCATCGTGCAGTTCATTCCGAGACTCCGCCTATCAAGAGCAAGACCAGCAAAATGTCGAAGTGAGCACTATGACGCTTGACGATGGCACAGATCTAAATGGTATTGATAAGATTTTTGAAGGTATTCCACTATATCAACTAAGTGTAATGAGACGAATGCACGAATGCCGCTTTCGTTAATTTCTTTCGTTTACCTTTGCGTTGACTTCAGTTTGTTTTTGGTATGCATCGCCTACTACAGTGATTTTGACGGCTTCATGAATGTGGGTCATTCTCCTCGAGTCAGTATGTATACGTGAATGTTGGATACACGTCGAACACTTGATATGATATATAAATATAAATAAATAAATATATACATATATATATATATATGTATGTATGTATGTATGTATTTATTTATTTATATATTTATATACATATAGTATATACCTGAATATATATATTATTAATGCATACTCGAGCGTCTGCATCTCGTACATACTGTACATCGTAGCTGCAGTCTTTCATTACCACTTACACACGAGTAAGGGACGGTACTTCGCATATGTTATCTATCATAAATATTGTGTTACGAACCTGAAGAGAGAGGTTCCGTTACGTACTCATGCATGATGTTCGTTTCTGCATAGGTACGAGTAGAACTTTTTCGTTTTCATTTACGTTTTAGATTTCTGGATATGTATATCTCTTATCATTTTCACTTTTTTCGTCCAAGTATTCTGAAGATTGAAACATCGCCTGTATTACCGGCATTAGTTACGTTTCCGTCGATTCTATCGTCATGTAAAAGAAAAGAGAACAAAAAACTCGACTGTGTTCAAGCAGTGTTACGTGAGTTTACTAAAGCTTTTACTTCATGCATATCGCAATAATCATTCACGAAAATCAACACATACACACACACACACATCATCATACACATACCCCGGCTTGCACGTTTTTTTTCGAGACACCGTTTGTCATCTTCATTCATCGTTCATTGTTGGCGCATCACGGCACTCGCGCGACACTTCCTTTCCTGACGACACACAGAGGATTTCACACAGATGAAACCACATAGACCCGCGGCTAACTTTACATGTCGTTTAAAGGAGAATGACCCTGGGATGAATGGAGTGAAGTGTGAGGAAGGAAGGGCAGATATTTGAGATTTTGATAGACGCCGCAAGACACCCTTTTTTATATAGCTTACCTCCCAAAATTTCGATCTTTAACACGTTGCGCTTACATGCTGGAGAAATATGTTAGCTAATAGATTGTATACAGTACACCTTATTAAATGGCGACCTCAGGTATCACACGTGATCTCGTGACAATGGCTACACAGTCAATTACTACAGGAGGTTGCGATATGGACGACGACGGAGATGGGTCGCAAGGGACAGCAGAACATAACTTTATTCCTCCACCGTCAACCTCGCCGGAACCTGTATCCAACTTACCGTGCAATCAGAAACAAATTAAATCTCGACCTTACACGTCTAAGGAGGTACTGCCTCAGAAGGTACAATGATCTTACTCGTTGAGCGGCCACGATTTCCGTGATATATACTTATAGACACATCAACATACCTTTTATACCACGCACCGTGTGCGTAACGATTAACGTTCCTTAATCTTTGATAATATCCAGCCCAGAGCTAAAGTGTCCGTGTTTCGATGGTAAATGCATTTAGCACTGCTTGAATAACTTGCGAACGCGTGCGGATAATCGCGGCGGAGCCCGGTCACTCGCGACCGCTCACGGCTAAATTGTATTCCAGCTAGTACATGTGGGTGCACTGGAGGTGCAAAATGTTAAACGGGCGATCAATCGCTACGGCACGCTGCCGAAGGGCGCCAGAATCGGGGCGTACTTGGAATCGCTGCGGCAGAGCGGCATGCCGTCGAATCAAGAGAACGTCGTCCCGGTCGCGGCCACTTTGTCCACCGCTATGGAGCAGCAGCAACAACAACAGCAGCAGGAGACCGCGGGTGTCGTCGACTCCGCGCCGCAGCATCGCTCACTTTCACCTCGCCAGAACAACCTGCGTAGCCAGCCACAGATGACGCGTAGCAATTCCTCGAGCGGCGTCGTCAATACCTATCAGCCGCCAAACTCTCCGCGTAGTCGCGCCGTTGCCGTTCGCAAGAACAACGTGGACGGCGGCATCGGCCTGCGGACGTTCCGCGCGCCTAACAACTCCAGCTTTCGCACCGCCAGCCCGTCCAGATCGATCCAGCCGACTCTGGCCGACCTGGAGTTCCCGCCGCCGCCGGTGGATCTACCGCCACCTCCGGACGAAGTCTTTAGCGATCAGTGCGACTTGCCGCCACCGGCGACTGCGTCGCCGTGCACCGAAACCTCTCACAAGACAGCAGCCGGCTCACCGGTCGGTATCAGGAAGCTGAAGGCAGAGTGGAGAAGCAAAGACGAGGCGAGTGACGATCAGGAGGAACGGAACAGCGACGTGAGGAACTCGGAGCCGTCGGTGAAGGAGGCTAGCTCACGATTCGGCGTGAACCTGCGACGCCGGGATGCGTCGAGCGACGCGCATTGCGGCATTGGTAAGCCCACGGATGAAAAGAAGATAGTGTACAAGCCCAAGGAGACGAGCAGCATGATCACGAAGATCGAGCCGCCGGATGCGCCTGTCGCAGCGCCTGAGGAGGCGCCACCGCCACCTCCGCCGCCGCCGCCGCCCATCGGCGCTGGTAGTAGCACCGACACGTTCGAGTCGAAACCCGGTATGAAGGAGATGCTAGAGCTTAAGCTGATAAACGAGATCAAGCAGAGCGCGGATATGAAGCACGGTGCTAGTACCACGAAGAAGACCGGCACTGCTAGCAACGCGCCTTCGTCCGCAGTGCCGCTCGATCCGGCTTCTCAGTTACTGTCTGAGCTGTGCGCCAGCTTCAGCATGGATTCCTCGAGCAAGCAGCAGCACGTTGCTACTTCCAGCGAGTATGCGATCACGACGCTGAAGAGTAGCGGTGATGCGATGAATATCGGCGGCATTCAAGAGCATCATGCGACCACGCAGACCACATTCGATAGAAATACCGGTCACAAGGAGATACCATTGACCTCACCCATCACGGAAGGTATACTGAGCGCCACCAACGTGGGTTTCAAACTGAAGAAGGTCGACAAGAGGAGCAACGTGCAGAAGGAGGAGAACTCGGACGGCCAGCAGATCATCGATTTCAAGGCCCGACTGCGAAAGGTAGACAACGCTGACAAGGATCGAGCCGCGGACGAGAAGAGTAGGCGCTTCGACGACACGGCCAGTACCGTTGCGGACTCGACCGAGTCGTCTGGTATGGACGATCCGAACGACGACAAGCGCCGTAGCACCGGCAGTATTAGTAGCCTAAAGAAACTGTGGGAGAATAAAGAGGCTTCTTGTGATAACCAACCGCTTAGTCCTAAATTAAACGTGCGGGGACCGGGAAAACAGGACGTCGGCGACGCCAGCGAAGACTCGCCGGAGGATCACAGCGGCGCGTCCACCAGGAGTTCGGCCAGCAAGGACGATCCACGAATCTGGCCGCCGCCGCCATCGTCCTCTTCGGTGGCCACATCGGCGGAAATGGAGAAGCCGATCGTGCCGGCGAAGCCGCTGAAACCTCTCGGGCCCTCCAGCAAGCACTTTGGTTCCTCCATATACGCTACACCCAATTGCAACAAACCGCCATTGTCACAGAGTGACGACGACAGCGGCGGCAAGCAAGCTGGCGGTGGCGGCGGTGGTAGTGGTGGCGAGTCCGCGAAGGGCGCAAAGCACAGCGTGATCGAGATCTCGAACGTCATAGAGAACAGCATCCTCAATTTAAAGGGCAGCCCCACCATCGTCATGGCCAGTTGGCTGCAGCTGTCCGACAAAGTAGGCCTGCTGCACGGCATGTGCGTTAATCTCACGGACACAGCGATCGCGCCCCACGCTAGGTTCCAATTCCGCGACCTGCTCACCAGGCTGGAGCTGCAGGCGAGGCAGTTGCGGGCCGCCGGCACGCGTAACATCACCGAGAATACGAGACTGTTGAGTGACGTGCAGAACACGATAAAGGACGTGATAAACACGGTGCAGAGATAAAACTGCGAGCCGGCAAGTTTGGGAAAATCAAAACATGACGCGTCTCCTCCACCCTCTCGCGACTTCTCTTATTCACCCCACCCCTGGCACCCGCCTGTCCAAAGTGTTTTCCTCTTGTGGATCGAGGAATTCATCGGTTTCCGTGTCTCTTTCACTCTCCATCTCTTCATCATCATTTGCATCTCTTTTTTTTCTCTCTCTCTCTCTCTCTCTCTCTCTCTCTCTCTCTCTCTCTCTCTCTCTCTCACTCACTCACTCACTCACTCACTCACTCACTCACTCACTCACTCACTCATTATCTCTCGTTGGATCCGTGTGGGCGTATGGTATATATAAATCTATATTATAAATATCTATATCTAAGTCACTATATAATAAGGTCTGTCGAAGAGTGGTGTCCTTTTTAGGAGCCTAGCGATTAATCTTCGTGCGAATATAATAAGAGTAAACTATAGTGTGTGAATATAAGACCTTGATCGATGAACACGACTTTGCGACTGCATGATCGTTAGGGTGGATTAATCCAAAGTTGCATGAGCCGAACGATCGCCGGTATGCTTCCCGATACGCAGAAACATACGGGCACACACATATATACACATATACATATATACAATTTTAACCACGCGAAACAATACACGTAATAAAATACACACACATACACATACAGGAAACACGTACACACAGCTCGGGATTCTGTGCTACAACTCTAAGTTCGTATACATTTATACTTTCGCCTGTCTGCAGCATTCGCGTTTTTCGAGAGAGAGACCCTGAGAGATGACGCATAATCATTCACGGGCCTGGCAGAAACTCGGCCTTAAGACGAAAAGTATACAACTTTGCATGATTGAACATTTCTATGTCGAGACGTGTAAGGCGGTTTTCATATACGATAATAAATATGATTATAATTACTATGTGAAATTAACCAACCACGCAATTCTCTCAGTAGTGCGGAACAAAGAAATCCGGAGTATTCGGCATGAGGGAAACGTAAGAGTCGTCGCATACACGCGCGGATTGTCGACAACTCGACTAAACTCATAATATCTCGTCGAGTCGCTTATATGTACCGCGTAAAAAAAAAAAAAATCGTTTCGTTTTACATGTAATTTTATACACACACGTCGTGCTTAGTATATACAATTATATATTATATATACGCGAGATTTTTAGACTAGACTATATTATATAAATACGAACACGGCTAAAGGAAATAAAAAAAAAAAAAAAGCGTAAGAAGTCATTTCATGTGTACTGTGGGACAATATAACGATTTTGTATTTGTATAGAGTAAGTTGGATAACAGCTATCACAGCACTAATCGTACGCCTACGTAAATTGTACCCGAACAAACAAACAAACAAACAAAGAAACAAGCAAGCAAGCAAATAAGCGAGCAAACCGAATGTAATTAATCAAACTTTTAAGTATCGTGTGTGCTTCGTTCTTATCCATGATGGTATAGGGAAATGTTCTTCCAAGAGCACAGTTAGGCAGAAATATTCGCCTGAAGACATCCATAGGAGCGAAACAACAATTACGTTAACGTAACTCACGGGAAGTGCATCTTAATCGATAGTCGTGTATAACGGGGGGCGAAGCGAGAGAGCTAGAACAAGTAATGACGGATAAATGAGTAATGATTATATACGACGTGCATTATCTGTCTGTACAGTATTCTCTCTATATGCTTTTCCATACAATGGAGATTTTAAATATCATGCATTTGTTCACGTTACTCACACTTACTCTTATTCCACATTGGCATTCGCGTCGCGCATACGTTTTTATACGTTTTCCTAGATCCTTCTCTCTTGATATTTTGAAGAAATGAGTAAGACTTATATATCAATAAGATTATATTACGGAGTTAAATTTCTATTGTTTATATATATCTATTTCTATTGTTTATATATATGTACACACATCCACATCCACACACACACACACACACACACACACACACATACACGCGAGATAATGTTATATAAATGTTCCACGCAGATATGTGCTAACGTCGACCGTATGCACTTCTGTAGCAAGGGAACGAGTAAGCTAAGTTTTTTTGTAGTTTGTAATACACGTCGATTGTAGAACTATTGCTTCAATTAGTGCTCCGACGAACTGATTTTTAAAATGGAGGTTTTCAGGCTTATACTTCATTCGGCTTGTGCTTGACACTAAGGAGAATGCAATAGAGAGATGAGTCACCGACGAACTATTTCTTACACTGCCTATATCATATACATTACGGCTAGTAGTAATATTGAATTCATTAGTGATCATAATCATGTAAATGTATCTTTCGGTCCAACCTCTCATTTTTTTTCTTATATTTTTTTGTACCTGTGATAAACTAATTGATCCCACCCTCTCTTTATGTTCTTCTCTTTATCAAAAGAATCATGCTCAACAGGAATGGTAATAGTTTGTACGAGTGAATTTTAGTCGCCAGACGTTTATTCGGAACAAATTGTATTGTCGAAAGAGATACAAAAAATTTTATGTGTTTTATATAATATGTATTATAGTAATTTTACGTCTCTATTTATATGTATGTATTTATTTCTAATTTTTTTCCGTGTAAAATTACTCTCTCCTAAAGAATCGAGACCAACGTACTGATCCACTAATACAAAATTTTAATATTGCTTTATACATTGATATTGATAAGATTGAAAATGAAAATAAAAATAATTACCAAATTAAGTTGTTTCTCTTAGTTTGAGCAACCGATAGCATCGTCCTGAACAGTGCTGTTAATATTGTACTTTACTGCTATTTGCACTATTGTATACTATAATTGGCTTTTTACAACTTATGTATTTATTATAAATACATATTACAATATATATCTAATATCTTTTGTTTACAGTTACCATTATATTATATACTAAAGTAACTACAATATAACGTAGTTTTACGTTGTATCACATGTCAGTTATGTCCATGTAGCTGGCTCATTGTTAACTCGTATTCTCCATTACTTCTTGCGTTCGAAAACAGTCACTCACAATTTTCCATTTATCACCCACAGCCGTGATTAGGAAAGTTTGATTGAATGTCCTGGCGTTTTTCTCCTCGTATTTTACTTGTCCGCCAACTTTGATTAGGAATGTTAGTTGAGTAGCTGCTTCTAAGCCTATATTTAACATTATACTGTAATATTTCAATGCAAATCTACATAGTGCATCTAATAGTATTACAAACAGCAAAATAAATTTAGCAAACTTTCAAAATATGATGTATTACCAGAAGTTAGAGAAAAAGTAGTGAAATAAAAATGCAGACATCAGCTTGGTATACACAAGTATTGAAATAGATGAATATTGTGATGCAAATTTGAGATGTGGCAAGAAAGTTCCATCAAAATCTAAGTCATGGAAAAGTCAAGATATAAAAAATGTAACAGATTTAATATTTTCGAATACTTTTACTCATCTCTGATATTTTTATAATTGAGAATGCAGAAGTATGATACAGTTATTAATATTTACCTGTGATTGGCTGAGCATCAAGAGTAAGAATATTATGTACTGACGTTGGCAGATCTGTCCAGAACTTTTGAATATTCTCTTTGCCTTCAACTCCATTACCATTCCATATTAGATTTGCGGTATCCATGTACATTCTTGAAAGCAACTAGAATCATACACAGCCATTGAAATAACAAAACAAACTAAGAAAAGATATAAGTTTGTCAATATTATTACAATTACATACATATCTCCGCTTGTCTAGATTCTCATAATATAGTTTCGTAAACTCTTCTGCAGTTCTGCATGCTTGGTCGATTTTAGACTTTAAGTTCTGCGAAAGTAAACGTCGATATAAAAAATATAGTATAATCAAACATAATCAAATATTCAAACTGTGTAAGGTACTAGTATATTTATCACTTTTAGAAGTTCTAACTTTATAAAAATATATTTATGTCAGAAGAATGATCCATAGTTTATTTACTGTGTGCAACTACTGTGATACATTTTACTGATTAATTATTACATGATATTATTAACATTAATATTAATAATAATACGTATAACTATATCAATATACACAATACATAGATAAATAAGATATTAATTCACAAAATAAGGTAATATTATAGTATTTTATATATATTAGTGATTTTAAATGTAACAAGTTATCAAATTCGACTGTGTTGCATGTGTGTGACGACAGGTTTCAAGCGTAATTATTTAATTTTTTATTAAGTAAACTGTTATTGTACCTGTTCCATGTTGTGTCGTATTTTTTTCTTTCTTCTTTTAAAAGTATAATGTGTTTTTCCTTTTCTCTCTAAAACTTAAAGGGCACCAAGTATTCAGAACAGGTTTATCGTTTGTTAATTCTTATATCCTTTAGTTTAATTTTTAGCACAAAATTTCATAACATGTGATAACATTACACGTTATGGAAACAAAAATGGAAGGTTAAAATCGAGTTACGCATGGTTACCAACAGATTTCTCTCTTTTTTATTGTATGCATTTAAGGCCCATCTACAATGGCTGCAAGAATAAAGGTCCATCTACAATGGCTGCAAGAATAAGGTTGTAAGCGTAAGCAGAAATGGACCAACCATAATCGATTATTCTTATAATAATCATAACGGCACAATCATTCGTGCATTACCGCTCAGCTCTTGAACCTCATTGGTGCGTATAAATTTACGTCAGTAATTTTCCACACTTCCGGTTCTATAAAGAATTAAGGCGCACACATGATGAGCATCTGTGTAATATTGTATAAACAATTCATTTAACAATATTTTATGCGATAAAATATATTTTAATTCGATAAAATACATCTCTCTCATACAGTCAACAACATGTGGGTATCGATCTTTTCCTCTGACTCGTGAAAAATTTTTATTAACGAATATTGATTATATCAAACAATACCTTCTTCCCAACATGCTTAAAATTAAACATTTATTAAGTTAAAAATTAAATTTAAGTTAATTCGTCAATGATGAATGATATTTTCTTTTCAAGTTCACATCAGGGGAAAAGATGTACGAGCTGCGTTTCAATATTCCCTGCCAGTGCTGAAACTAGAGCATATGTGACATAAACTATAGATTTTCAGTACTGGCAATGAATATCGGAACGCAGCTATGATCGATATCATGGTCGCGTTTTCGCATTGGATCGCGAGCTAGTGTATTACTAGATAGCACCACCAACTATAAGAAAGTTGTCAACCCCTCTGTGGTTTCAGACTCTCTGCTATTGGTCTCACTGTTCCAACTGTCAAACACAGCTGTGAGTCACAAAGTATGGACATTCAAGAGATCCGACGCGTTAATTTTGGGAACATTTAAAGGGAACCTAAAAAGAGATCACATCGTCGGCACGACACGAAGCGCTCAACGAGGGCGACTAACGACGTCTCGGCGACTGGATTGGCGCAGTCTCTTAGATCCAATCAGCAGTAATCGATCTCTCATCGGAGCGGCCGTAATTACGGTGAACTGGTCACCAGGTCGGCGGATCGTACGACGTTCGCGCACCGGTCGGTTCGCAATCTCACTGGACTCCGTGCTCCGTGCTCCGGAGGAGATCGCGAGATCTCGCTGGGTCGGTCACGTGACACCGTACTTCCACAGTTATTTTTTCAGGCATGATGGCGCCAAACGCCAGTATCTACTTTTATGTAAATATATTATTGATTTGGTGCGTACCGCGATCAAGCACGAGCGTTTGCCGTATCGCGGCTGGCCGTCGTAAGTAGCCCCGTTGCGGGGTAGCGCGCGGACCGCCGGCGGAGTGAGTAACAGACTGGCCTGCACCGCCCGCCTGGAATCGCTAATGAGGACATGTTGGTTAGGCTGCCGTGACACAGAGAGAGAGAGGAGGCCGTTACGCACTTGCTTACAGCAACCCGTCAGCGTGTTCGCGGCGGCTCGGGAGCACGCACGGCTACCGCCGGCGGCCCCGCGGCCGGTTTCACGCCCGCACGCTATCACGTGCCGCCTCGCGCGCGGAAATATATCCGGCTAATAGATCAATAATAAGGTATTTAATGGTCTTCCCGAGAGTGTGTGCGTGCGGGGGAGACTTGTGGTGGAGTGCTCGAGACGCTGCTGCCATCTGTATTGTCAATGTTGTCGGGCAGCAGCAGCAGCAGCAGCAGCAGCACCACCACCAGCAGCAGCAGCAGCACCAGCAGCAGCAGCAGCAGCAGCAGCAGGATCATCAGCAGCACCAACAGCATCAGCAGCGTAATGGAGTGAGCATTCTCGCGTTGGATATACGAAGCGCTCTCTCGTGCCACACGGGATCTCACGTTTACCATGAGATTGAACGCCGTACGCGGCCCGCTCGACCGTCGACACGTGCAGTGAGTGTGATTAGCACCTTACGTCGTCGTACGCAGCGATATACGCGAGGTGCGATCCCCGCAGCGGGCGGCCTGTTCTCCGCGTCAATGTTTACATGAAACGCACGGTGACGACGGCGAGCGTTTGCGGCTACCGCCGGAGCGCGACGAGTCGCAGCCGTAGTGCGCGGGGTCAACGTCGAATGGCATGTTCACCGCCGGTGTCGCGGTACGTAGCCGCGTGCTCGGACGTCCCTCGGCCGTCGCCCCCGCGGCCGTACCGCCGGGACTGCGGGCGACACGCGCATCCACCCGCTGACTAGATGCGTTTTTTATAACCTCTTTGCGTACGTACGCGCTTGGGAACGCGACAGGAGAAACGCGCGGGGAACCGCGCGCAGCCAAGCACCGCGGGACGCACGCGACGTTTACGGCTCTCTCGGTGGCCGTGTCGCCCCGACGGTGATGTTGCGTTCCGCAGTGTGTTGCGTAGATCGGAATATGGTCTCCCTGTGCGACCGTAGGTGTTGATGCGCGTTGCCTTTCGACGATTCGTCGCCCCCAGCGTGTTGACTGTCGCGCGCTTCTGGGTCGGAGCCAGAGTGTTGTTGATGGTCATGGGCCTTTTGTGCACCTAATTTCGATGTTGCATCCTCGTCGTCGTGGTAGCCTCGGATATTGCTGGGACATTCTCGCGCAAATAGTGCGACATACGCGAACCACTTGCTGCATATTTACTGTCAGAGCTGACATGTCGAGAACTGTACACTTGTTATTCCTTTTCTGTGACAAATGGTCATGTTACCTATGTTGTGGACTGTTTGCGTTGTTCCCCAGTTTGCTTTGTGGTTAGTGATGCTGCATATTTTCTGAGATATTTTGTTAATCTGGTACTATACGCACAGCTCTTGTCATGTTTACCATGTTTCCATATGAGATGTATATTATTACGTATTGGTATTACGTCAAGAAGCAGTGTGAGTGATGTAAATAGCAGTTGGAATTTCATAAAATACCGTGTACTAAGGTTTTCATTGAGAACATAACACTCTGATCAGTGATGAAACTAATAGTTGATTTTGTTCTTCGGTATCTATCTGATTTGTATATATAAATAATGCTAATCGATGAGATATATCGAAGATGCATTGTATAATGAATGAGTTTAAAGAGAAATTAATGCTTAATACATGAAGCTTACATGTATAAAGCAATAATAACATAGATTTTAAACAATGTATCTTAAATATTGACAGGAGGATTAAATAATGACAGGAGCTAATTTACTACAGTGATTTTTATTTATAGCAGTGAATTTATGATTTTAAAAAGCTGTTTTTCTTTTTTATTTGTAGTAAGAGCACTGTATAAAAACATCAAATTTTATTTTAAATAATTCAAGTTTTTTGACTTGTGATTAAAATTGTATGCATCGTCGCACATTTTTTCTTTGATTCTTAGATTATAATGTGTCTTTTTTTTTTATGTTTCAGTTCTGAAGAAAATCTGCTTTCCAGATAATAAATATATGGATAACTATGTAGTAAGTTTATCTCTCTGTTCTCAGAATGCTGTTTGTAGAATTCATTTTAGAGAGAGAAGAAAGAGGATGCTCATACAAAGTACGCAATTGTTATTTCAGGGTGCACACAGCTCACCTGCATGTGCCACGTACCACTAGCTCACTTGGTATAGTAGAATGGCACAACGAGGCAAAAGAGTCCACAGAAACGACAATGATTTGGCGTCTTATCCGGGCGCTATTAAGAGGCGCAAGTGTAGACTGGGCCCAGCTGCCACAGGTTCATCGTCACTGGCAGGGACCATGGGGCCCTCAGAAGAGGAGGAAACGATGGCGTCATCCAGCCAAGTGGGGGCATCCTGGACCCCCCGACCCGTCAGTGATATTAAGATCTCCAGCATATACAATCGATCGGCTGCTGAGGCACCAGCAGAGTTGTTTCGTAAGGACCTGATCAGTGCTATGAAATTGCCGGACAGTGAACCGTTGAGTCCGAACGAGTATTGGGTTATAACTGATCAGTGGAAGCAAGAGTGGGAAAGAGGTGTTCAAGTACCCGTTAATCCAGATTCTCTTCCTGAACCGATGGTTACTGTTACACAGACGTCTCCTTTAAAGTTACACACCGAATTCAAATTGTAAGTGTATAATTCATACTGCTTCGTGTGCTTCATGCGTACATTGTACATTGAGAGTTGTTTAAGATCGCCAAAGTATGAAGTCTCTAACGAAATTGTGTATTGTGTTTCAGGCCTAAAAAGTTAATAAGAATAACTCGTGATGATTATTTTAACTCAGAAGACCATCATTTAAGTACTACCCCAGCGAGAGCAGAGAAAGCCTGTGCTTATGACCTTGATGATACTGACATTGCCTGGTTGGATATATTAAATGGGGAACGTGCACAGGTATAATAATTTTATGGCTGTGGCTGTGGTAATATAAACGCGTCTGTCTTTTAGATCAATAAACTATTTGTGCATATAGAGCTACATTGATATTCTGTGTAAAAATGTATTTTAAGGAAGGTTTCATATTAAAAGAGAAAGAGAAAGAATGTACACTGAATTCATCATGCATTTTTAGAACAAAATACAGTAGAATCTCATTAGTATAAGAATGTATTTAACAGATTTAAACTTTTTAATAACTCTTTTCATTTGTGTGGTTTCTTTTTATGGTTGTTATTAAATAATTGTCTAATATAATAATTGTCATATATTCAGCTGCGAACATATATAAATTGTTTAGAAAAATTTTGTCTGAAAACGCACGAAAGACAACTTTGGAACTTATAAGCTAATTAATATTATTTTCTGTGTGAAAACCAAGGCTGGACAATTGCCAATTACGGAGTCGCAATTGGAACGTGTCATGGAAGAGTTGGAGGTACGATGTTGGGAAAGGATACAAACGATCGTGAAGAACGAAGAAGGGCTTGGAATTGAGTACGACGAAAATGTCATTTGTGATGTTTGCAGATCGGTGAGTGATCGTTTTATTCTTATATAATCACACATTGAAGAGTAAATAAGCTATCGTTCATTTCGTTTACATCATGTTGAGTTACATTTCAACTTGAAATTCGATTATGTCTAACGAAATATTTTCACGACAGCCGGATTCTGAGGAGGGCAATGAGATGGTGTTTTGTGATTGTTGCAACATATGTGTACATCAAGCTTGTTACGGTATTACCTCGATACCCGATGGCTCTTGGTTATGTAGAACTTGTTCGTTAAGTCAAAGACCCGACTGTGTATTATGCCCTAACAAGGGTGGTGCAATGAAGTGTACACGAAGCGGTCAAAAATGGGCTCATGTATCGTGTGCGCTCTGGATTCCCGAAGTTAGCATTGGTTGTGTTGAACGAATGGAACCGATCACAAAAATATCCAGTATTCCGGTAAATAATATTCCTACGACAGTTGCCTCTTTTTCACTTTCTCGGTGTCTTTGTGTCATTTGAAATTAGATTCGGATTATCTGTGTCTGAATGAATTATCTGTATCTGATAAATTAGAGAGAATCATCGATATATATCCTATTTCCGAAAAATTTGTCAGACACTCAATATCACTTCTATGTCCAGAGTATAATTTGTCCGAGATCACTTATCCGTCGTGGTTGTCTTGAGTATGGATTGACCGAGTGCAAAAATTTAAATTGCAGCCAAGTCGGTGGGCCCTAATTTGCGTTTTATGCCGCGAACGTGTGGGTGCTTGCATTCAGTGCAGTATAAAGACATGTAAGACAGCGTATCACGTTACGTGCGCTTTCAAATATGGGCTCGAAATGAAGGCGATCATTGAGGACGAAATGGCAGACGACGGTGTGAAATTAAGGGTGAGCAATCTTACACGAGGGTATTCGAATTCGTCAACATTATCGTTCCGGCGGAACCACGAGTTGACTCGACAATTCTGCTTTTAGTCGTACTGTCAAAAGCACAGTAGAACGAATACAAAAGACAAGGTCGGCGTTGGCGGTAGCGTAGGAAGCGGCGGCGGGAAGGGTGGTTCGGATTCTGAAGACGGCGAGTCCAGGCGGCGTAAGCGGAAAGACATGACTTCCGAAGAAAAGAATCAAGCACGCGCAGCTAAGTATGTGCTTTACTTAACGCGTCTGTAAAAATGACGAGACATGACGAGATCCGTTTTTTGTCAACATTTTTATCGGAAGACGCTGTCATTACTTTTTTAAGTATCAAAATTTAATTAAGACATCATTAAAGTACACAAAGTTTGCATATGGACCAAAATACGTGTTTCTAGCGAATATATTTACTCTCAAACGATCCATCCCAAACGGTGTGTTCTGTGCATTTTTCTAAAATTCTGTTTTCCGAGAAATCGGAATCTCTATTGCGCCCTCCGAAAGTATGCCATGAAGAGTAAGGGTAATCAGCGTTGTTTTCATATCAGGTTGCAGGAAATCGAGGCGGAATTTGATAAGCATGTTAGTTTAAAGGATATTACCTCCCAGCAATTGGACATAGATCCCGACAGCATTGTGTATATCTATAACTATTGGAAGCTGAAGAGAAGGGTAAGTCATCAATTGAACCTGCCGGTTCGAAGGTATTGCGTCGAGTACGCGATGCTTTTTTACTCTCGGCGATACTACGTGCACGTTTGTAATTGTTTTACAATTCGTGCACGTGATATTTTTAGGCCGGCCACAACAAACCGTTGTTAGCGCCTCGTTGTGGCGAATTGTCGAGCGCAGGGGCGCGCGCTCAGGGTCAAGCGGCGGATATGGAGAAGATGCGCACCTTCGTACAGTTACGCCAGGATCTTGAGCGAGTGCGCAATCTGTGCTACATGGTGGGTCGTCGCGAGAAACTCTGTCGTTCTTTCCTGCGACTACGCGAACAGACCTTTCATAAGCAGGCCCTGCTACTGGCCGGGCCGCCACTACCACCAGCGGCGGCTGCTGCCGTGGCGGAGGCGAATCACGGACCCTCGATATATGACCGTCTCTACTCCCATCCCGATTCTGAGGATCACACTCACGATTTCGACACGTTAGTCGCTCGGATCGCGGGTGTCAAATCACCTACGCCGGTGTCGAGCGATGAGAAGAAGGTGCAGCTGGACTTCAACGGCGCGTCCAACAAGAAGCTGTACTTCAACGGCTCTGTGAGGAGAAAGAGCTTATACGGCAGTGACCTATCGATAAGCAGCAGCGAGACCGAGGCGACCAAACCCGCCAAGACGACTAGCAAGTCCTGTGCAAGCAAGTCCAAGTCCGCTACCAGCATAAAGGTCGAGATCGAGTCGAGCACGGACGACGAAGCGGACGCGTCGAAGAACAAAACACCTGCCAGACGAAAATCGAAGAAGGCCAGCGCGCCAGACAGGCCACGACCTAAGCTGCGAGATAGCAGCGAAAGCGACAAGCTGGACACCGTCAACAGCAGATCGCGTACTTTGCAACACATGGAGAAGGAGCTCGGTAGCGCGTCGGGAAGCGAAAGCGACGAATTGTTGCCCCTGAGCACCAACGCCGCTTCTCGCCTCGGACCGTCCGTAGCCTCCGCCATCTACTCAGACACCGATTCGGACTCGTTGGAGCATCACTCCTCGCACTCGGCCGTGCTCATCACCAAGGCCGCGGTGAAGGAGTTCTCGGCAGCGGAGATATCGAAGAATTCCTCCCAGAAGAATTTCACGTGCAAAGACACGGCCAGACAAGATTATCATCACGCGGACGAGCCCACGAAGAACAAGGAAAACGCAAAGGGCGCCAAGAAGAAGGAGTACATACCGTCTGCTCTGATAGTTCCACAGCGGCAGGCGGCGAAAAAGGCATCCGAGATAATGCAGCGTACTCAGGGCAAGAAGGAGAACACCGTGAACGAATCGTCCGTAGAGTTCGTCAAGTCTCCCGGCGAGGAGCCCGCTAAACCGTCGAAACCCTCGACGACCAAGGAGAAACCGTCCAATAAGAAACAGCGCGACAACAAGACGCAGAAGGACACCAAAAACAACGACGTTTACGATTTCGATAAGGAGTTCGGCGACGGCACTGAGATCTTGGCTTACGTTCCGCAACGGCAGGCCGCGAAGAAAGCTGCGGAGCACATCAAGAGTGGCATGGGCACGAAAACTGCCCAACCGGACGTAGAGACCGCGGACGTGAAACCAAAGAAGGAGCTATTAGATGGCGGCAAGAGGAAAGAAATAAAGAAGGAGGAGTCGCCGAAGAAAGAGGAGCTGCCGAGGAAGGATGAACCGTCGAAAGACAGGAAGGGCAAGAAATCGGTGCTTGAGAGCAGCAAGAGTGCGTCGTCCGTGTTGACGAGCAACAGCGAAAGCAGCAGCAGCAGTAGTTGCAGTAGCTCCTCGGAGAGTAGCAGCGATTCCGACGTGGCGAAGAGTCCGCTGCAGAAGACCTCGAGCGCCAACAAGGAGCCGACCTCTTCGTCGACCACCACCACGTCGTCCGAGAGCGACACCGGTAATCAGCAGGTGAAGAGCAGGACCGTGAACAAGCGACAAGTGAACAAAATCATGCACGAGGACAACGAGGCTGAGAAGACTCTTGCGGGGCGGAAACTCAAGAAGCTGCCCGATAAGAAGCTTAAAACTTCCGACGGGCGGCATGGACCAGAGTTTCAGCCGCCGCTTACTGAGAGAGAAGAATCAGGTCGAACCATCGTTCCTAAGGAGTCGCAACAACAGCATCAGCATCAGCACCAGCAACAGCAACAGCAACAGCAACAGCACCACCATCACCATCACCACCCGCACCACCATTACCAACAGCAGCAGCAGCAACAGCAACAACAACAACAACAACAACAACAACAACAACAAGCACAACAGTCACTCGGTAAGAAAGCAGATCAAAGAGATTCGTCCAAAAAGTCCGTGCAATCGCAACAAACAGCAGCTGACCAAGGTGTACTCGGTGGGTCTCGAGATAATGATGGGCTACGAAGTGTTTCTGGGGCCAAGTCGAAGAAGTCCGGTCAGCCTGTTAAACAGACGCAACAGTCTACTTCTCGAAACAAAGAGGACAGCGGCGCAGGATCCAGAGCGAAGTCGGAGACTCGCAAACGAAAATCAAGCGAGACCATCGCGAAAGACGAGAAGATCATTAAGGAATCGCTACCGCTCAAAAAAGTGGAAAAGAAACTGAGCGAGAAGGCGAACAGGGAAACCGAGAAAGACAACAAGCACGATATCAAGAGCGTGCCCGGACCGGAACCGGTGGAGCCGCCAAAGCCGATCGAGAACATCACCATCAAAGCGGACGACAGAAAGATGAAGAAAACGAGCCACAGGAACGCAATCAATACGTTGGAAGAGGAGATGAAGCAACGGCGCGCGGAACGTGATGCCCCGAAGAAATCGTCGAGGGGGTTGGACAAGCTGCTTGAGAAGCGCGAGCACTTGGACAAATTGTCGCGCAATAAAACAACCATCCAAGAGGTGAAATTGGAGAAATCCTCATCTAACGAGGAAAGCAACGACCAGATCATAACGCAGGAGACACCCATCGCGAAGGAGACTATCAAGATCGAGGACGTGAAGAACCATATGAGCGAGCAAGTGGCGGTGTTGGACACCACTAAGGTAGAGAAGGAGGACGTGGTGAAGAAGGACGTGATCGAGATAGCACCGGAGAAACCCGCGGAACGCAGGAAGAAGGTCGAACAGAAGATTGAGAACGTCAGCGAGGTGGTGCAGACTGTGGAGATGGCCGCGGTGGACGTTATTGTCAAAGAGTCTGTCGACAACGTTTGTTCCAAGTCGGCGCCGGACAAAGCCGCGGCTATGGACGCGCCTGAGAAGGAGTGCCAGAAGAGGCGAAAGTCTGTGAATCGTTCCATCTTCTCACCGCAACATCACGGCAGCAAAGACCCGAGTGTGTCGGAGCTATTCGATTTCGATCACGACATCCTCACGGACGACATGGTGAACGATGACGGCATCAGCATACCGCGCGACGAGGAGCGTGCAGCGCCGCTTACGTTCTCCTTCAACAACGATTGGTTCAAGGAGGACTCTAAGGAAGACAGCGCGCGTGAGACTTTGCACCTAGTGGAGAAACTCCGTATGGAACTATCGAAGAAGTCGAATTCTAGTCAGTTCGAGTTGGAGTCTGTTCCAGCGGAGGAAGAGCCAAGGAAGGAGGAAGTGCAATCGGCGGACAAGCTTGCGCTGGAGCAGCAGCAGCAGCAGCAGCAGCAGCAGCCACAGTCGCAATCGCAACAACAGCAGCCGCAACAGCAGCAGCCGTTGCTCCAGGAAAAAGTGGAGGTGCTGGAGCAGCAGCCGGTGAAGCAACAGCCGGTGGTGCCTTCGGCCATCGTGTCAGCCGTTGAGATCAAGACCGACAGCGACGAGCCTATACAGGTGTCGGCGGAGGATGATCTCGCCAGCTGCAAGAGTCACGCGATGGAAGAGAAGAGAAAGACCTGCTATTCGAGCAATAACAGTGAACACTACATGTACGGAAACGAGGAACGCGAGACGGCGAAGGTGACGGTGGTGGAACGCGCGAAGCTAGAGATGGACGCGGACGCGGACGAGAGATGGGTGCCGCCGAGCTTACCTTGTCCACCGGAGAACTACAATCTCAGCACGCTGATGGACAACCAGAACCACCGCTACGCTGCTCACCCGCAATTCCCGAACGACATCGCCGCGGTGATGCCGGACACGGCGAATCCAGATGCCCTGGTCCATCTGCAGCTCAATATCAACATGCAGGACCAATACCTGCTGCAGCAGACCCACTCGATGGAGCGGGTGCAGCACCTGGAGGTACACGCCGAGCAGTCGCGAGTACAGTCGCTCGCGATGATGGACCAGCAGGTGACCGGGATACCGGCGCAGATCGTGGACGAGATCACACCCATGGAGATGGTGAACCGCCACCTGATCGGCCTGCCGAATTCGGAGGACGACCAGGGCAGCGAGATGGACCGTGTGCTGGATAAGGACGAGATCTCGTCGGATATCAGGCAGGATTACACGCAAGGCGGCTCGCCCTACAACGAGCTGAACGGCGCTCGCCCGGACACGCGTTGGGCGGAGAGCCAGGTGCTGCCGTCGCGTCGCTCGACGTCGTCGTCCATCACGTCAGCCTCCTCGGCGGAAGACCACGCGGCTATACCGCCTTACAAGAGCGTACCGCCAATGCCGTATCCATCGTGCACGATGGACGCGGCACCCTATCACTACTCGGAGACTAGTTCGTACGGTGCAGGCGCGGTGTCCCTGTTCCCACCGCAGTCCTGCGCCGCACCGTTGCCTTACCCATCACCGGGTACGGCCATGTTCCCGCCGCCGTTCGGCGCGGCCTTCCCCACGCCACAGTCGTTGCTGCCGCATGTGCCGAAGCCGCTCGAGGAGTCGCTCAATATGCAGGCGTCGCCGTGCACTGCGGCCTTCACTTCATCGTCGCATAACATGGCGCTTACCGCGGCCATGGTATCGCCGACGAAGGTGACCACGCCACCGCCGCCGCCGCCGCCTCCGCCGCCACCGCCGCCGCCGCCTCCACCGCCGCCACCGCCTCCTCAGCAGCCGTCGATGCCGCAGCAACCTTCGGTGACGCAGCAGCAGCAAGTACAACAACAGCAGCAACCTCCGCCGCCGCCGCCGCCACCGCCGCCGCCGCCTCCGCAACAGCAGCAGCAGCAGCAGCAATTGCAGCCGTCAGAGACGCCACAGGGTCATGCACCTCTGTTACCTCAGCAGGTGAACTCCCCTGCTGTACCCACGTCTTTCCTCAACACCATCCCGGAGACGCAAGTAAGCGAGACAACGGTGGAAAACATACCGGAAGTACTTACAGACAGCAAGATCGCGCCGTCCGGCAAGAAGTCGCCCGCCAAGCCAACGAGGACCTCCGCCAGAGTGACGTCGTTGCAGGGCAAGTCTCCGGGCAAGTCACCGCGTCAAGAGACCACCAAGACCGTGCCGAGCGCTCGCGGTCGCGGCAGGGGCGCCAAAGGCAGCCAACAGTCGAGCTATCGAGGCCGCGGTCGCGGCCGGGGTAGGCGCGGCAGAGGCAGCCAGAGCGCCATGGCGATGACGCCCATGGTGTCGAGCACGCTGCACAACGACGACTCGATTCAGAACAAGCTGATCGGCACCGTGTACGACTTCGACTCGGACGAGGACTCTGCGAACGAGACCAACATCGCGGACCTGCGAATGATGCGCGAGCGCAAGAAGTCCACCGACGTGAACGAGAAGCGCGGCGGCGAGCCCCTCGGCATGGCGAACGACGCCATCCAGTCGCACCTGTCTAGTCCCACGTTGCATAAAAAGTACACGGACGACAAGAAGCTGTCGTCGCCGGTGACGCACGACCAGACCGCCCTCGCCAAGGCCGACACGAACGCGGGACAGGCGTTCGCCGATACGGTGATGCCGTTGTTGCCGGGTCCAGTGGATATGCGTACGTACAACTCGACGGTGGACCAACCGAGTTCGTCTGTACACGGCCAATCATACGGCAATCACCTGTTGGGCTCGTTCGCTGCGGGCGTGTCCACCGATCCGAATCTACATGATATGGAAGACTTCGAGAACGAGCTGAACTCTGTACTGAAAAAGGCTACCGGCAAGCAGCAACTAGTCGCGAGCGACGGTTTGGAAGGGACGTGCATGAAGCCGGGTTTCGGCGACCCGTCGGCGATAGACCCGTCCGCTACGATGGGCTTCAACGACGCCAACAAGGTCTCCCTGACGGACTCACGGAACCAGTTGAAGGTGAAGATCAAGGGCCCGTTCCTCGACGCGAACTATGTGCCGGCGTCGTCGGTGCCTCCGTTGGCGCAGCAAGCGCCGGTGATCATCACCCCGACTGCCAACACCGCGGCTGTAGCATCTGGCACGTCGAACTTGCGTCGTATGCGGAAGAAGGAGCTGTTGAGGCAATACTGCTCGCAAGACATGAACATGGACGACCCAGCGCGCGAGAACGTCACCTCGGCGCCCATCAACATGCAACCGATCAACCATGGTCAACGCACGGTCATCACCATCCCCAAGGCTGTCGCGTCCATGACCAGTATACCGACTCGCGAGGACTATAAAGCAGTGGTCGACGCGAACATGGAGAAGAAACGGCGGAAAGAGCGCGGAGGCGGCAGTGGCAGCGGCGGCGGCAGTGCTAGCGGCGGTAGCGGCAGCTGCAGCGGCGCCGGTAACGTCGGCGGTGTCGTAGGCGTCGGTGGCGCTAGCGCCGGCTTCCTCGATGTCGCCGTCGCCACTGAGGAGGAGGCCAGCTCCGACAGGAGACGTGGTCTCATGGTCGCCACCGTCGACCGTCGTAGAGGCCGGCAAGCCAGGCCGACCGCCACCGCGGTGACGAACAGCGCGCATCCGAAGCTGAAGATCAAGATCGGTAACAGCATAATCGGCGGTCAAGAGGTAGGTAACGCGCAAGACGATTGCAGCAGGATCAGGCCGCCGAAGAAGCGGCTGAGTAGTATCCCTAGTAGCGCGCCCAGCATGGAGGAGCTGCGCCGTGAAAGCATGAAGTTCCGCAAGATGATCATGGCGGGCTTCGACAACGACGAGAAAACCAAGGCCAGGAGCAAGCGCGACAAGAACGGCAAGCGCAAAAAGCGGCAGTACAACAAGAAGGAGGCCCGGGTGCAAATCCTGGAGGGCGACGCGCCCAAGCTGATCATTCGGCTGGGTAAGGCGGGCGCCAACTCGACCACCACCACCACCACCACCACCACCACCACCACCTCGGCGACGATCGACACGGCGAGCGACGTGTCCACGGCGCTCTTGGTCGCGCCTGCCGGCGACGAAAACGATAATCAGCAAGGATCGACGGATAACAAGGACAGTCGTGTGGGCCCGCCACCACCGGAGCCTTCCAAGGAGGAGGTGGTCTACCCGATGGAGGGCGGTATCGACGAGAAGCAGCCGACGGACCCGAACGCCGGCGCCACTGCCCTGAGGAACGTCCGTTCGGCGAAGGTCACGCCGATCCGGTTAAAACTGACCCGCTGCCAGGAGGGCTATGAACTGAAGGATCCGGTGGCGAGTAGCGTGAGTGTGGACGTCGGTAGTGGCGGTAGTAGTAATAATAGTAGTGCGACGACGACGGCGACGACGACGGTGACGGTGGTGAACTCGGTGGCACCGTTGCCGGTCGGCGCAGTGAATCAGGCGACGGCGGCGGCGGCGACGGTGGCGGAACGCCTGTCGACCGCCGACGCCGGCGTCGCCGTGGTAGCCACCGCCGCCGCGGAGGCGAGACCGGAGGAGCAACAGCAACAACAACATCACGGAGCACCGGAGAAACAATCTTCCAAAGAGAACGATATTCCATTGCTGCCTCAGTCCGCGAATCACAGCTCGTCGGGGTGTCCGCCCGCACCGCTCCCGCAAGGATGCCAAGTTAGGTGATAATTAATGATAATTGTATAATATAGTAATTAGTGGTTTTTTCTTAGACGATTCGTACGCGTGTATATTACGTATATACATGTTGCGGCGCACGTGTCTCTGTGTTGGCGTCTCTCTCATGTGCGTGCTGTACACACGTAATACGTACGCGCCTACACACGTACACAATACACGCTTACACGCGCCTACGCAACATACAGATTAAACATAGCACATCGGATACATACAAACAAACAAACAAATACACATAGACATACAGATGTATATTGTTCAATGTTGAGACAGAGACTCACTAGAAATGTTGTAAGTGTGTAACATAAATTATTGATTATTGTAAATGATCTGAGGGTGAAGTGAAATGTCACAAAGTGCCCAAAATTTACCATAAATACTGAAAACACGTGCATTTCAGGTGTGGTGAGCAAGTGTGGGGAATGACGACCCGCTAAGGTGTCACCTCGTTGCGTCATCTCTCGCGGTCGAATCCACCGCGCGGTGGTGCGGAGTAGTCGCTCGTCCCTCTCGCGCTGCCTCTCTCATCATCCTCCTCCTCCTCCTCCTTCTCATTGCGAGAGCAACGGGAGCAAGCTGAAAAAGAAACGCGCACGTAAATCGTGTACGATTGTTCATTGCTTTCATTGCTAGAGACTCCAGTCGAGCTATGCGGTAACGTCGCGACGCCAAGTATATAAGAATCCATAGTGAAATCCTGTCAAGCGGTGTATCGCATCTTCTTTCCGATCACACATCATCTCCGATCTCTTCGCATCCAACCAAATCTCATCGACAATGTCTTCGGACACGGAGCGCGATTTTACTTCCCCGTCGCTTTTTTCGTCTCATTCAGATGGTTTACGTTCCTCTCACTTTGTCGCCGAAAGAGCTGTCTCTTCCTCCCGCGATCGAGACGCGCGCAGAGAGATCGCGCTGAATTCTCGGCCAAGAAGAATTTCGACAGCGCGTTGCCCCGGGTATGCGACGCTCCAAGATCATCCTCATCTGCCGCGCTCGTCGTCGCGACGAGCTTGCGTAATCGTTCCGAAATCGGAAACCAGGCGCATCAGACTCGTTCAGAGCTCGTCTCGGCCAGGACGACGTCTCGTGTTCCCGAGCGCCGAAGGATCGACACCTTAGCGGGGCTATCACGTCGGCGACGTAAAAATTACCTTGTACAAAAGGCATATTTCTCAAATCACCGCCTAGGTCGTGATTTTTAAACGCTAGCTATAACGAAGAATTTTAATAAACCCACAACACCCCTGTAGGATATTTCGATCGAGCGACTAAATATCGATTATTATCGTGGCAAGGAGGCGTATATACCAGCCAGTCGTGAGACGCGAAATGAGAAAAGGGACGCGCGTTTCCATTTCTCTCCTTATCGTTTTCTCTTCTGTTATTTTTCTCTTTTGCTGTTTTATTTTTATTTTCTACTTTTATTTTCAAGACAGCTTATCGCAGGTCTCAGCGTACTCTGCGCTTCTCGACGCAACGAGAGAGAGAGAGAGAGAGAGAGAGAGAGAGAGAGAGAGAGAGAGAGAGAGAGAGAAAGAGAGAGAGAGAGAGAGAGAGAGAGAGAGAGAGAGAGAGAGAGAGAGAGAGAGAGAGAGAGAGAGAGAGAGAGAGAGAGAGAGAGAGAGAGAGCATATTGCCGTTCGCGTGCGGAATGAAAGGATCGAAAAAAAGAGAGACAGATTGGGCATGGAACACCGGCGGACGCCTCTCATTTTTCGTGCTGAAACGAACAAACGACACACCCGCGAACGGTGCAAACACCATTGACGACGTTTCGTTGCTCTCGAGAAACGAGAAAGGAAAAAAAAGAATCGTCTGTTCTTCTTCTGTTCTCTTTTCTTTTTTCGTTTTCGCCTTACGGTGTGCAATTTGCGCGTGAAGCCGCAAAGCCCAATCAGTGAACGCCATGTTCGAGGATATTTTTTATTATATTTTTTTACACGTTATATGTATACACATATATATATTATATATATTACGTTTTCGCGCCTCGCGATTTGTTACATAGTCTTTTTATAAGACCAACGCGTCACACTATTAGCGCCGCGATTGCATATTTTATCCATTTTCACGTTGTAGCTCTCTGTTACGGGGGTTAACGTGTATTTATTTATAACGATCAATGTAGGACGCTATTTATTGACCACGGATTCTCTCCCGAGAAAAAAAAAGAAGAAAGAGAAACGAAAAACCATCCGAGAACGGTTTCTAAACGATTATTTTCCTCCTTGTCTCCGTTTATTATTAACGCATTACTACTGCTACACTCACACTCAGCCACACACACGTACATACATGTACACGCGCAACGGCCTGCACTCACCCATTCAAACGCCACATACACACATACATATACGCTACTATTTGCTATTATTATGTATTTCATTTTTGTACTAAGGAATCATATCGGTTTTTTTTTTCTTTAAATCTCGTTACGTGAGTAACGAGAGTTATGCGCATAAAATACTCATGGTTGATGAAGCGGCGTGCCATTTTTTCTATACCGAGGTATTTAAGTGCGATCGAGTCGCGTTAAGAATGGGGAGAGAGCGAGAGAGAGAGAGAGAGAGAGAGAGAGAGAGAGAGAGAGAGAGAATGTGCAAAAAAGAAAGCGGCTTCGCTACCGACATGTGTCGCGCGCGTGCCTTCGACAAGATCGCGAGATTAAAGGCTAGTCCAGAATAGGTTGCAAACATCCAGTTGCGAGTTGCGAAGAATGGCAACTACTAATTACAAAATGCTATTTCCAGTTGTAAGAGACAGTTGCGGTTATTGAAAGAGAGTTGTTCAACTTTTAACTTCTTGGCGACGGCAACTGGCAATCGCAACTGTCTCTTGCAACTGGAAATACTGGAAACTTTGTAACTAGTAGTTGCCATCCTTCGCAACTCGCAACTGGGTGTTTGCTATTCTGGACCGGTCTCAAGATATCGTCGGGCAAAGATGTTACACACACGTCCTGGACTCGCGCGAGAGATTGAGGGCCGACGCTCCTCATCATCCCCTTCATCACCCTGCGTGAGAAAGAGTATGAGAGAATGAGTGAGAGAAAGAGAGTGAAAGAATGAGAGAAGGTTCCTGCAAGGATTGCACCGCCCTCTGTCTTCGTACTTTTGCTTCTTCTTACCGCTGCTACTTAGTACCAGCAACTTCGAATAACTCCGTTCTATTTCGAGTACACCGACGCGTAAGGATGCAATGGTATAATCTGAAGGACGTGTTTTTTTCGCGTAAGACGTTTTGACGATGGGAATCGCTGGAGGCGGTTAGCGAGCAACCGATGAAATCTGGAGAATCGTAGCGCAACATATCGAGTCATCTCTCCATCGAGGGTGCGCGAGAACTCCATGCATTCCCATGCAAAGCTTCTGTTCCGCCGAAGTTGGCTCAATCGCGTCCCAATGATCTACAACGTATCCTTCCTCCTTCGGCCAGGTGCTCCTCGAGAATTTCGTGTTATCGTCCCGACGAGTTACATTTGAAATTGCTGGTACCCAAGGGAGAAAACAACCGTTAAACAACCTGCAATCGTAATCGCGCAAGATCGAATGTGCGAGCAATGGTCAAATTCTAAGTTTATCCGCCGTGCGATCGAGATATGAGTAAGACGACCGTGCGATCTGCGAAAGTCGAAATTGTTGTACCTTGAGAGAAGAAGTCTACTTCAGACGATTCGGCTGATGCACGCCCCGCAGCTCGCGTCACTCTCTCACGCCGGAATCCAATTTGTCTGGGGGATGTCCCGGCAGGTTCTCGGCTCGCGGGTGTCTCCCACGTACGAATCGTCCGAAGTGGGCTTGAGTGCTGACCTGCGCGAAATGTGCAATTGTTGCGATGTCCGAAGAGAGGAGCGTCTTTCGTCCCGGTGGTATCTGCGTGTATCGTATCGATTGTGGAACGAAAGATCCCGAGAGACAGTTACGTATCGAGAAGCTGACACTCTGAGCAATAAATGTCCTCTTTTATTTCGGAAAGTCAAGGTAGAATAGAGCAAGCCTAAACACACGGCCGCATGATGATATGAGCGTTCTTGAAAATCAATCGAAAACACATGCTAGCGATCGGAAATGCCGAGGGAAATCACAAGCTCTCACGGCGCGCCTGATGAGAACAGCGCGAAGCGCTCGGCGAGTTTTCGTTCCACAATTGTAACGCGACGCGCGCGTAGGGAATGTGAGACGAAAGCTGTATATATATTCGTATGTCACCTAAGACGCAAGAATCTGTAATTGGTATGAAGCTTACATAAGGGCTGTGTTACCTACGTACGGATCTAATCTTCCAGATGCTTTTAAGTCACTTCTTTTTGGACGAGCACATTCAAAAGACGAGAGAGGGAGCGAGAGGGGGGGGGAGAGGGAGAGAAGAGCGATAACGAATGCAAGATTGCGCCGAAAGACTATCGATATCTCTCGCGGGAACGCGCTAACGTTAAGGATCGTTTCGATGACGGAAGAACGCTCGCGCGGTGCGGCTTTGCCGTCAAACGACGAATTTCTCGAGATCTGTTTGCAGAAAAGATACAAGACGATAAGAAAGAAAGATGAAAAATCCCACCTCAGAGATCACCTAGTGTCTGTCGGAACGACTGTCAGTTATCTCGATTTGCCCGATTGACACGTCCGAACCAAAGTCACGTACTCCGAAGACGCCGGAGAAGGTTTACTTATTCGAGAAAGATTAACGGACCGGCGAATCCTTGCAATCACCGTCGTCGTCAGTTTAATTATCGGTCAATTAAGCATCTTCCATATACTCACACGCGCGCGCGTCATATCTATGCGAATTCACACGCACAATACACTGGTCTCATATACATCTCTCACACACACACACACACACACATACATAAATACAACATGCACAGACGTTGGCTTATAAAAGATGAAGTAGTTTTTGGCCGTGATCTTGCGTGTCTTGGGAGACAGAGGAATGTTCAAATGCGACAAAGGGGAAAACAAAGTACGAGAGTATGCGTATGCGTGCATGTGTACGTGTGTGCACGTATAAGAGAGAGGGAGAGTTTGTGCGTGCGCATGTGAGAATGTTCAAGTGCGAGAAAGAGAGGGAGAGTCTGGTGATACCGTTTCGTCCCATTTCTTTATTGTCATAACTCTTTAGTTTCTTGTTATGCAGCGCAATAAATCAAATCAAACAAAGTATTGTTTAGCGACGGCGATTTGCGCGCTCGCCGCCGCTCTTAAAATTCTTATCGGTCGTGCGGAAGCGAGTTTCTCCGGAGACCGAACTTCTTTGCGGCTCCTCCTCGACGCGTGCGCGTATGTGTGTGTGCATCGCGTTCGATTCCTCGATCGACGAGAAAATCGGCGGACGAGCCGACACACCGCGCCGATCCGTTCGATGCGTTACGCGAAAATGAAAGGATTTTTCCAGACATTTCATAACTTACACACACGTACCGTATTGTACAGTCGTGGACAGAAATGTTGTCCGTAATGTTTTGTATGACTTTTCGCACGTATCTGCCTCTAGCCCAAGCGGGAGAATTTGTTTTGGAATTGTGGGAAGATTTCTCCCGCTTCAGGCGACACGGATGCGTCGCCTGAAACTCGCGCAAAGAATTACGGACTACCTTCCTGTCCACGATCGTATATTTTTTCAGTGATAAGCAGAGTTTTAAGAGCCTATATATTGTACAGAATTAAAGAATAAATATTTGGTTAATTTTTAATCGTTTCTTACATACGTATATATATATATATATATATATATATATATATATATATATATAATATATATATATATTGAAATAACGATAGCGTTAATAAGAAATAACGATGAATTTAATATTATATATGTTTATATACATATACATATATAAATATATGTCCGGTTACGTATATGTGTATGTATGTAAGTATGAATATATAAATATATAAATATATAAATATGAATATATATATATAAATATAAATATATATAAATATAGATAGTTTTATTATATTGCAAATGAGTAATATGATATTTAGTTACTGTATATATTGTACAAGAGAGCTGGTCTTGTAAGATATGGATAAGGTGTTTTAATGTGCACATAGTCGCGTAATTGTCTCATTAATCATATTATTACGATTAATAATAATTACAGTTTTTTACATACTGCGTTTACTTATTCCATCTTACATCTTCACGCAAGATCCGCGCTACGATAGTTAACTGCAGCTCAATGAGAACAAATAACGGGGGTGAAGGGGAAAAAGAAGAATTCGTCTTTTTTACATTTTCTTTATTTGTTCTTGTGCAATGGAGACTCCAGTAAAACTTACAAAACTAACGAAGCTATCGTAGAGCGCTTCGCGTGTTTTAGAAAATTCAAACATTAATAAGAAAGGCCGTGGACGGTGATGAGACATCACTTGAACGTTAGAACGTAGTGAGTCACATCATCAACCCCAGTAACCGCCCCCCCAACCTCCCAAATATCCTCTGCCACCCCAGCCTCCGTATCCTCTGCCACCCCATCCTCCTCTGAAATATCCAGGATATCCTCCATAATATCCTCTACCACCGTACCAGCCACCGTATGGTCGTCCGTATCTGAAAATATACCCGCAAATCGTTCAATTCTTTTTATACGCAATGCATTTCCTCGCTCGATCGACACCCTCTTGTAATAATTCATTACGATAAACAGATTGACCAAGCGCGATGTGTGTGCGTCATTAGCGAAATTTTAACCGCTTATAGTCCCATATAAATTCGTAAATCGCCCAATCACACCGGAACCCCGATTGAAGCCAGCCAATTAAAGGAGCGAGTAAGCGCCGTGTGATTTTAAATTTCTCACACGCGGACACCGTCTCGTTGCGCCTCGTAAATTCTCAACGGCGACAGATTTCACGCGATTGCACATGTGATGTTCGACGTGTCACTGGCAAAATTAGACGCGTCGCATACCGAACGACCGCCAAGCCATCCGATGCGAATTAGTCGCGCGATCGGAAGTCATTCGCGCGCGCGTCTCTCTGTGCGCGCGACTAGTTAGAACTCTCGTGTTGACGAAATTAAGACGGCGTAAAACTCGCCGCGCTGGCGGCGTGATTCATGCGCGGTTGACGAGACGCGCGACGGCGTAAAACGTCCGTGAATGCGAATGAGGATGCTGCGCGAGTGTGACGCGGGAAAGTGCAATATTTTTCGCAAACGTCCTCGCGCCACCGTCAATTTTGCAAACAAATCGTGGCGCGCGCGCGCTCGAACTTGGCATACAAAGTGCAAACGCGCGCGCGCGCGCGCGCGAGGTACATCCGCGTCCGCTTGAATAATCCCCGATTGCGGCGGAATACGTGATCGCTATTTCAATATTTTATGGCCGCAACTGGACTTCACCGCCGCGCACGACAACTACGACTCTTTGAATTATTGAAGATGTCGGAGATTAGAATGTGTAATTACGAGTTCCTCCTTGCCCTTCCCCCCGGCCCCGCACCCCTGTTGTCCGCGCGGAGTTGGATTCCTTTTGTCCCTCACAGAAGAAAATGGAGGAGAGAAAAAAAGGTCTGAACCGATGCGACATTGAACGCGACACAGGAAAATTTTATTTCGCTCGAGCGCATTGATTAATTAAATTCGGTTCGTTCGTCGCCACGGTAATTCAAGCCGATTCCTTTTTCTCCGCGCACAGTGAATGTCCATTGTCCCGGGAAAAGATGTATCTAAATTTGGGAAGTGGAACGATTTCCTGGAAAGTCGCAGTATCGAAATCCGAATACCCACACAATCCGACGTTAAATGAGATATTGATGCATTTGTGCGCGCGTGTATGTGTGTGAGTGTTCCCGAGGTACCAGTTCCTCCTTGGGACAATTGGTACACGGACAAAAAGGATCGGTCGAATTAACGTGACAATGAACGAAACAAACGCGTGTCGGTCGAAGGGAACAGAATTTTCGCCTCTCGTGAATTGCATTCGGCTCGGAGAACCGGAAATTCCGTTGTCGCGCTTTTTCAACCGATTCTATTTTCTCCGTGTATACTTCAGGATATCGTTTCGGCATTCCTATTTTCGTATCACGGTCTCTCGGGGGAAATTGTGACGATTCCCAAATATTCAGATTATTTCCGGTTTTTAGGGCGACCGTATCGAAAAGGAAAATTCCCTGCTAGCGTACTCGAGCATTTATTCGTAAATAAAACAACTCACCCCCAGTAGGCGGAGGCGTCTGTTTCTAAATCATTCGTAGCCGCAGCCGGCGCTTCGAACTCAGCATTTACGTTAGTTTCTTTCGACTCCACGGCAGAGGAGAACGTGAAGAAAGCGAACGCCGAGATAAGGAGAACCTGAAATCAGTTGGATGCTTAATTATAATTGTATTAATAAGTACGACCTTAACGCAATAAGACGAGTCGTCTCAAGATTTCCGATTCAATCGTCGTTCGAAACGCGAAGATCGAGTTGATCGTCGGTGATGTCGATTGAGAGAAAAATGTCCAAACCGTATCGAAGGCAAGTGTTCGCCTAAACAAATTAAAAGATCGTCCTATATTAATCTCATTTTTAGGGCCTACGTAGCGGATAAAACGAACCGTCTGAACGAGCGTCTGAAGAACAAACTTCAGATAATTGCCGGCACAAAATCTGACCGCGAATATCAACCCGAGTCTCCGCAAGATTATACAAAGAGAGGAAGATAAAAAAGAAAAAAAATGCGATGAGGAAAGATCTCAGGTAAATCGCGAACACCGCTCAATTATCGAGTCTGTCTCGACTGGACGCGGATCCCGTCCGAGTGAAATTTCGCGGTTCCCGACGTGATTACGCTAATTGGACGTCCGCTCCGCGACTGGGCGATCTCGAAGGAGGCACACGCGACGTGTCTCGACGACCAGGTGCGGACAGACCGGAGATCTCGACGTCGTGCACCGGGACGCGTGTCCGGCGGGAGTCACTTACGAAATGCAATGGGCGCATCATGTTGAAGACTGATTCCATTTCCGAGAGCGGCAGGCCTTATATATGCGCCTGGCCCGCCGCGTTTTCGAGACGCGGGCACGCACAGCACCCACACACACGCCCCCACACGTGTCCGACTACCTGCCCGTGTCCGCCAGGTACACGCAATCTCGCGCGCGCGCGTGCGAGTGCCTTCGCGACAGCGCGATAAAAGGTGCATCGCGACCACCGGCACGGGGGCGTGCGCGACCAACGGCACGTAGAGCCTCACAAAGATCACCACAAGTGTGGCCGCGGACGCCGTGTTTTTTTCTTTCGGGGCCGCGGAGGAGGACGCCATACGTGACCGTCGAGACGCGACGCGCTAAGGACGTGATCCCGGGGAAATTCGCGGTAAACACAGCTGAAATATCAGCTGATCGCACAGCTGATATTTCGACAATTTCAAGTCGGAGGGATATCTCGTCCCTCTCCCCCCTCCCCCTCCCCCTCCTCCGCCATAGATGCGCGGAGATCTGCACTCCTTTGTCACGAGAAAAGAACAAATTCGAACAAACGCCTCGCTCTCACGGAGAGACACCGAAGTTTCGAAATCTCGCGAAGGGTCGCTCGCGATCGACGCGTCGCGAGCTATCGATTCGGCCGCGGCCATTTTGCTCGAGAGCCTCGAGAGCTCGAGAAGTGCGCGAACGTCTCGTCGAGTTCGGCAACTTCACACTTGTCAGTTGCGACGATTTAAACGACCCGGTGGAGCCAGTGGTTTTTAACATTTATTACTTTTAACATTTTATTAGTGGCTTAACATTGGGAAGTGATACATTGGCGAGTCGAGTAATCGAAGATCGGCGGATCAGGCGTGTGGAGCGAACTTTCGTGCTTTAATTGTGTGTGTTTAATTTTGTTCGCGATAATTTATGCACGTCTAATCGTGTCTAATGACTCTTCTCGGTATTGTTCGCGTGCGCTCGCACCGGCGGGGATTCCAGGAAGGTGAACTTTTGTTTCTTTTTTCTCCTCAGGACTCGCGTTACGGACTCGGCTCTCTCGGACGATCAATTAGGGACGATAATGAGGGGCGGGATGAAAATCATGGTTCCTCGAATTCTGCCGTGCTTTTACCGGCAAAAAATATCTCCGGCACGGGAATGACCGGTGCGGCCGTCGGATGGATTAGAAACTCTGGGCGATTTATCATCGTCATTTTCGTCGTCGTCGTCGTCGTCGTCGTCGATGTTGGGCGACTTCGCGCATCGCACTCGATTGCGTCCCGCCCGTAATTTTTGCACGGTGCGCACCTTTGCGCTTTGCTCTTTTTACAGAAATATCTAAGATATATTGTCGTTACAGAAATATATCTAAGATATATATTTTTATATAATAACTGTTTGCTATTCACGAAATTATCATAAGCACTCGTCGAATACCGATGCGGCTGGTTGATTTGCAAATAAATGGATACGGGATTATTGCATAAAGTGCGCTTCTTTAACGAATGTCTAGAACATGTCGAAAACAATAACTATCAATTCACGGGGAGTTTTTCACAATGGTTGCTCTTCCTCTGACAACCTGAACTTCTAAAAGAACGTCTTAAAGTCGTTTAAAATATGCCCAAGGAAACATCGGACGTCTTCAAGACGCCTTTAGCGCTGTCTGGGTTGGTATTAACGGCCGCGGCGACTCGACGTAAATCCAAACGTCGAACATGAAGAGGGCCGAAAGCTTCGGCAACACGGACATACGCATCTTTCGGTTCGTCGTTACGCAAATGATTTTGTCTCAAGGTCCGGTGTTGTTCGCTTAACAATGCCCCTGACCTAATAACCGCCGTCGCTTTGCCTGTATCCCATTTGAGTGAAAGTTGACTTTTGTTTGTCATGTTCGCGTTTAAAGGAGGACTCGCGAAAAAAGAAACCCGGCCGATAAATTAAGAGCTGCATGCCTGCGCGAGGCTTGACATTATGCAATTTTTATTAGGCCATAAACATTCGCGTCGCTATTATAAGCAATGATGCGTCTCGATGTGTTTACGTTAAAGTCGAAAATTCGGTCGAGGCGGCCTGCGGATGAATCAACGCGGATGACTTTGTCACTGCGGTCACATCGCCTTAGAAACCGTCGGTATGCGGAATTGTGTGTCGCTGTGTCTACAAAAGGGAGATTATGTAAGGAAACCGAGACTTGTACACGTTGTAGAAGTTGTGTACATAATATGCATAGCAAGTATTTCGGGAATACCTTGACCTGACATTTATTGTCGCGCCGCAAATTATTTAACGTAACTGTATTTTCAAATCCGTGAACGATCAAGAATTCCGGCTGTTTGTAGAAATAAAAGCGATAAGATTTATTTATTCGCATATATTTAGCGTCTAAAAGTTTTTTGTATATTTGCTGAAGATGGAGCGATAGCGGGGCGACTTCGACACGTCAACGTATGTATCCTTCTTCTTAATGCCCGTTCCGTATTTGCGGGAGAAAGGAGGACGGATTTATTTCGATAGATCGCGATCCTCTCCAGGAGAGACGTCGGACCTCTCATCTTCCTGTCATTTTGAAAATGGAATCGGGAGCAATTTCTACCTTCTTGCAGCGCAACTGCACGAGGAATGATCATTCTCGTTTTCTTACAGATGCAACTTTACGAGGGGAATTACGAATGAAAGTCAGTCTGTCATCCACTCGTCATCTGTAATTAACGCACACGTGCTGTACGCCTTTTCGTCATCGATAGGATGCAAATCAGAAGATATCCTGAGACAGCGAGACCGCTCTTGACCATCAATCCATTAGTCCACCGATCCATTAAGTCGTACGCAAAGTGATTCCCCGGACCGACTATTAATTAGCTCCGCAATTAGCGCCGTCTCCGGGGCTCCGCATTTTTTCAGTCATGCAGGAATCAGTATATTTACTCAAGTAGAAAGAGCGAACGGGAATTCGCGTCGCGTCATAATCACCTGACATCGTAGCGAGAAAGTGCCGCAAAACGTCTCAGGTTTCCCTGTCATTCGCTTTCGCAAGAATCCGAATTCTCCCGTAGAGTCGTAGAGTGCAATCGATAATTGCCACTGGCAAGCGGGCGAAAATCAGCGATTTGTAATCTCCTAAATGAAAATTATTCGGATTTACACAACGATGCATCTTCTATTTTTAGCGGACGTTGAAAGAAACTGAAAGGGACAAGGAAACATTCTCGTCTGACCTTGCATAACGCATCTTCTTCAGAATACCGCCGTTTCGACCGCTTCGGTGAAAATAAGCCGCGTTAAGTTCGTCGGTGGTTTCGGCATCGAGAAATGCGGTCTCTTCGAAAGTATATCGCCACGATCGATCGCGACTGACCGCGTATCGATCGATCGCTCGGACACGCGGGGATCGATCTTTCTTCTTTGATTCGCGTGTTTTCCTCGCGACATTATTGCGATTACTGCAGCCTGCAGTGACTTCGTCACTTCGTTTAAAGTGTGTATCTACTAGCGAGGATCTCTGCTTTAAACGGGGGCATCCCCGCGGTGCGCCGGCCGCTTGCTTGTAGAGTCGGATTTTTGAGGACGAGCAACCGGCCTACCTTGAACACGAACTCGTCATCATCATCGTCGTCGTCGTCGTCGTCGTCGTCGTCGTCGTCGTCGTCGTTGTCGTCGGTGGCGTCGTTGAGCGTCCGCGATCAGTCCCGGCCGATTTACGAAAAGACAGAGGGGCTGCGCGGCGCAGTGACGTAGTGCAAAAAGACATACATCTCCTGAGTCAGTGAATCGTTGACCGCGGTCAACTCCTTCAGTCAAGGTCGAGTATTTTTCTCCACTTCGAGGGTCCTTGCGAGGGCCACAGTGACCACACTCCCGACGCATCGTCCGACTTCGTCTTTGTTGTCGTTCGGCCTGGAATGCCGCGTTTCTCGCTACGTTTCGAGGTTTGGCAATAAATTAAGAGTAGGGATAGAGTGCGTATGTTTGGTGTGCGCTGGCAACAGGTTCTCTGTGGTATTTAATTGGATGCCCTTGATGTATCACTGATGCTACTCGGTGTGCTCACGTTCAACATTAAATTTCTGGAACGGTATTTACGAAACAGAATATCGCGATCGATGGACCGAGAAGAGATCTTTTCGAAAATGTTTCCTTTTGGATTCGTGCGCACCGAACAACATTGATGGACTCGATAATACATGCGAGTGCTTATAATTGTACGTCCAATGTGATTGTCTTTAGCGTAGATACGTGTGTATAGATTTAACATAGATTTATCATAGGGATCTCACAAGACTGTTTGATTAGGTCAATGAAGTATCTGCTGAGAAGATTATCATATAATAGTATATTTTGTTAATATTGTTATATTGTGTTGGGAGTACAAATTAGTTCGGTCCGGTTTTTTTGTGTTAAAAGATGTATTTATTTCAAAATAAAATGAATGAACAGATCAATTAAAGTATTTTCCATCGCTGGCTACTACTTTCTCCCATTTCTCAGGCAATTTTCGTATTCCAACTCGAAAAAATGACTCGTCTTTTGAGGCGATCCAAGTTTGGAGCCAATTTTCGATATCTGGGAAAGAAGTGAACCGGTGATCTGCCAAATCGTGCTGCATCCTTCGGAACAACCAATAATCAGAAGGAGCAATGTCCGGAGAATACGGCGGGTGCGGTAAAACATCCCATTTGAGCGTTTCCAAATATTTTTTTACGATTTTTGCGATATGAGGCTGAGCGTTGCCATGAAGAACGCCTTTCAACGTCTCTCGGTTTCAGTTCATAAGGCACTCAATTTCCTTGTTTTTGAATAATTCCCATGTCTCTCAATCGTACGGAAACGGTTTGTTGAGTCACTCCCAATGATTCTGCAAGCTCCTCTTGCGTTTGACTCTGATCTTCTTCGAGTAATGCCTCTAATTCTTTGTCCTTGAATTTTTTTGGCTGTCCAGAGCGAGGCTTGTCTTTGACGCTGAAATCCCCATCCTTGAAACATCGAAACTATTCCCTACATGATTTATCAGTTGGAGCAGCGTCACCATAAACTTCAACAAGCATTCGATGGGCTGCACTTTTCTTCCAACTAAAGCAGAAAATTAAAACTTCCCGCAAATGCTGCTTGGTTAACACAAAATTCGACATTTTCAACACTGTAA